TGCTCCCCAGAAAGCTTAAATTTGTCTCTTCAAAATGCTTAAAATAAAGATGATGGTAAGTTAAAGCTCTCAAGTGTTTTTTCCCATTCTTACACAGAACAATATATGGATACTGTCAAAAACAAAGTATATGGTTTTCCTTACCTCCTGCCCTAAATGCTCCTTCCAGTGCTGGATAAATTTTTGTTGGAGCTTCTGGTATTTTACGTGGTTGTTTCTTGATGGTGGGTACTAGCTTCTCACTGTTTCCCTCCTCTCCTGATTTTTAATTAAATTAAGCTATTCTATTGCGAGTGAGGAAATCATAGTATTAAGTGAGAAACTAGGTTCTAATGAGTAACTGGGAAGAGTGTGTTAGTGCATGAATTTTAAAGAGTTCTAAGGCCTTTTTTGTTTTTCTGGCCCTTCCACGCTTGTGATAGAACTCTTGGTTATTGAATAAATAGTTTCTGAAAAGTGAGAGAATGCTGTTGGAAATGGAATTTCTGACTAATAAATCAAACTCTATTGAAAGATCCAGGTTCAAGTATTTTAAAAACCGTTTGAATCTTCATGAATGTTTAGTTAATGATTCATCGTAAAAACAATGGTGATTTGGTCGCTAGGAGCTTTTTTTGTATGTTTTTGGTTTTGAGTCAGCTAGCAAAAGGAAAAATAATTCAGGCTGCTCAGTTGTGGTTTTCACTGATTCTTTTTGAAAGTAATGAGCTGGCATGTTTTCTTCATCACCATAGCAACCTCAGCTAGGTTTTGCTTTTAATTTTTATTTCTCCTAGAAAAACTCAGTGCACGCGTCATTAGACTCTTGAGGATGGTAAGGAATATCTTTGGTAATTCAGTTAAAAGGCAGAGGAATGCTTTGTGCTACATATAGTTTGCAGATGTCTGCATTTCGTTAATGCTCTTTTCAACATCTGGATGCCAGTTAGCTCCAAATATATAGTAAGTTAAGTTCTCTTGAGAATAAAAGGTATGATTTCAAAGTTCTCATTGTGGTAAGTACTTGATTCTATAACCAGCACTTCCTCCAGCCTTACCAAGTTTGGGAAATAATAAACGTTGTCATAGGTGATGTTTCTTTAGTGTCCTCCAATGAACTGAAAGCATAGATTACTCTGGCAGCCCGTCAGAATGTGGTCCTTGCTTTTAGACCTGTTTTCTGAAGACATAGGTCCTGTGGTCCACACCTGTGTGATCTCCCCATTCATTTTTCTGGTTTAGGCAGCCATGGACACCTGCTTTTCATGCAAAGTATCCCCTCCATTCTTCTTTGAATGATAATCTATTACACCTGCTAGCACCATCGTTCGAAGACCCGGTTGATCTCTTCCCCAACATTAGTAATGCTAGCGTCAACAGAGGCTAACAGATAATGCTCTAAGACTTTAGGATACAAAAAAACCATAACTTACTTTTCTCCATTTCTGGAATAAAATTTTTGTTCCTTCTAGTTTCTGTCCCTGTGCCCTCGTCCCAACCCTGTTGGTCCTGCTCACTTTAGCCTGCTCTGTCACACTTCCTATCCCACAGAACAGAAAGAAAGGGTTGGTTTTATAAAAAGAATATTCAGACTGCAAATATGGTCCTTCTGTCTTCGTTTTGGTTTAAAACATTTTGAGGTTTTCTGGTTTTCTTGTATGTATAGGTATATTACCTGGTACTTGGCTTTTTTGAATGGCTTTGTCTTTAAATTGAGTATTGAAATATAGTAGGCATTCAAAAATGCTAGATTTGCCTTTTCTTTCAGAATTTTGAAGTGTATGTCCCATCGTTTTGTCCTTCACATACTCCAGTTGCGCTAATTTCTCCTAATCCGCTGAATGTACAAATTTCGTGGACAGTCTCTTCTTTTTTGTAGTCATATTCTTAGTGTCTGTTAGAATGTGGTTAAGAATTTTCAGACGACAGTATATTTTTAGTAATTCTCTGTGGTTTCCAGTCCCAGAGGAGGAAGAGTAACTAGCTTTCCTGGGTGTGGAGTTTGTTTTTTCTCAAGTGTTGCTACAGAGTATTTTATTTATGGGGATACTTTGAGATTTTTTGCTTTGCAGATTAACAGTTTCAGTAACCCTCTGCTGTTATATCTGTCAACTTCCCAAAGTAAAAACATTTATGTATCACTGATTAATTAGAAAGCTAAAATGATAACATAGGTCATCTTTAACCCAGACAGTACCACCTGCCTTTGTTCCTGGTTATTCCCGACTCTTCTGCTCCTTTCCTTACAGTGCCTCCCTTAGCTCAGTTTCTAGACGTTCTTCGTTGGTTCGTAGCCTGCAGAAAATGTCTGTGATATGAGACAGAATTTTCCTAACTAATTCCTTTCAGTGTCTTGCAGTTGAGCTCTCTGAATGGGTGTGGCTAGAAAAGAAAATTTCACTTTATAAACAAGAATTCCTGGGTTCCATCCAGTGGAAACATGTTTTTTGTTATACAGTTTCTAACTCATCATTCTAGGACTTTCGTCATAAAATAGACATTTCGTTTACATTGCTTTGTAGAAGGGGGGGGTCTAGTTTCTAGTTAGCATCTATGTCTAGGATATGAGGATTGCTATCTGATTTTTCAGTATTACTGTGTCAAGCCATTTTTAGTTTCCCGCTGAATGCATTATTTATAAGCACTGGATAAGGGGAAGTAACTTTTTCCTCTACTTAAGAAAGCAAGGAAAATTAAAATAGCGTAATGTCTACTTCCACAGGCTCTAAAAAAGTAATGAAAAAAGTGCACTATGTGTAACAGGAGAAATACTAATTAATAGTACACTATTTTACTATGCCCATGAATTTGTCTTGAGAAGTAATGAAATCAAGGTTTATTAAGCTATTTGTTTAAAATTCTATCAGTTTAGACTTTTAAAAAAATTAATTAATTTGTTATTTACCACTACATTGTAATACTTAAAATAGCAGTGATAATAGTTGAAACTGAGTGTTGACCACGTGCAGGCACGGTGCCAGCAGCCTCACATACACTGTCCCCTGCCGGCCTGGCGCGAAGCCTGAGCGCAGTATTTGCATCTCCCCAGGTGAGCGAGTGTAGACACCACAGGAGGTGCTCTAGGCCAGACAGTGAACAATATATGCTATGAAGTCGATGGTAAAACATTAAATAAGATAGAAAGGGCTAGAGAGTGGGGTTGGGGAAGATGTGCTATTTTACACAGGGTGGTCAGGGCGAGCCTCTTGGAATGAAGAAAGTTTTTAACAGAGACCTGAATAAAACGGGGAAGCAAGCTGTACAGACATCCACCGTATGCTGGGGAAAAACCGCCTGTCGTTTCTCATTCTAAAATTTTAATAACAAGTAAGTTTATTCCACAGATATTCTGAGAACCCAGTATAATGCAATATATAGTTCTAAGAGCTCACTTGTTAAAATATTACCATTTCGTTTTTCCAATAGGCCAAAGAAATATGTTCACCTTCAGAATTTGCCCTTTATGATCATATACACGACAGATGAAATTCTCTTAAAACGTATCGTTTATGTTTAAATAGATGTGTTCTGAAACAGAAGCAGCCAGCCTTTAAAAACACCTAGGGAAGTTTTCTCAAAGTGCTGGTCCATGAGGTGGTGTATATTTCTACCCGAAAAACCTTTTATCCCAAAATTCTTTTTTAAGAGATGTGGCTGGGGCCCCCATCGTGTGTGACTCTCAGTGGAAGTGGCCTAGCTTCATCCAGATAGACTTCATCTCACACCAACACGTCTGGTGTCAGGGAGCCCAGGCAGGGTGCAGGCAAACGTTCAGCCCCCTTACTTGGGGTTGAGAAGTCAGTGGACAACAGAGGATGAAAGGAGGCTTCACCCTACAAAACTCAGGAGGGCGATTGACCAGAAACCCCAAAACCATAGTGGGCATGCCCACTTTTGTGTCCCCGTCTCCCACACACCTAGTCGCTTCTAAGAACAGGGGCATTAAGACTCAGAGTTGCTGTCTGCTTGGCTCCTGCTGTCCTTGCAGAAAGAGTGAGGAATTGCTCATCCGCAGGAAAGAGAGGTGACTTGCTGAGCTTTCTCGGCTCTTGGTGGAAAGAGGCTGGCAGTGGGTGAGGGGAATAACAGGCAAGGATCTCTTTGGGGATACCCAGTTGAAGCTGTCAGACCCATCGACTATCCATTTGCCCGTATTCGTCTGTTTCAGAAAGCAAAATTCTTGAACTTCTTGCTACCATATCACCCAAACCAAAAAGTAGAAGAAAGATTAAAAAGCCTTCACTGGAGGTTGGCCCCACAGCCAAGTGGCTAAGTTCGTACACTCCACTTCCACTGCCCGGGGTTTCCGCAAGTTCGGATCCTGGGTGCGGACATGCCACCGCTCGTCACGCCGTGCTGCAGCGGCATCCCACATGCCACAACCAGAAGGACCTACAACTAGAATATACCACTATGTACTGGGGCGGTTTGGGGAGAAGAAGGAAAAAAAAAAAGAAGATTGGCAACAGGTGTTCGCTCAGGTGCCAATCTTTAAAAAAAAAGCAAAAAGAAGCCTTCACTGAGTTTCCCTTCCTAAAAGTAAAAAGCATTCATTGGGAGGTAATTTTTGTCGTGTGGAACTGTAGTTGCTGTTCGTTCCCGCTGGGTTCTAAGTCCCTGCAGGACAGGACTTTGTCTGCCTCGTCTCTGAATCCCCAGGAACCCCATGGGATGCTCACATCTACTCCTACCAGAAAGCAGAGACTGGACTTCAGCACCAGTCTTTTTCTCTTAGCTATTAGAATATTTAAAATCAAATTCAGTACCCATTCTGTAGCTCTTTCTGGGTGTCTAATTAGCAGCTTTTCCTTTTGACTTTACATATTGACTTTTTATCCTAAGCTACCTCAGGTGTTCTTAGAAATAAGCAGGGTGTAAAAATGTAAACCAGGGTGTAAACATGTAAACAGTGTGTACATTTTCAATTTGTAGCACTTTTTCTTTTTTTAACCTGCCAGAAGGATGTTCTCAATATGTCCCCTTCTGTCTCACGCCCCCTTTTTATTTTTAAACACCACCAGGTATCCGTTACAGCACTGATGTGAGTGTAGACGAAGTGAAGGCTTTGGCTTCTCTGATGACTTATAAGTGTGCAGTGGTTGGTAAGTGATTTCCTTCATTGCTGCCTAATAACTCTTTGGGGAAATAATGTTTACATAACAAGGTTACTTTTAAGATGTTCGAGAAGTATACCTTATTTGAACTCATTTTTTAAGTTGCACAGTGTTAGGCTTGCATCATTTTTCAGTTAGTCTTAATTAAGATTTAATCTTTTTTTAAACGAGCAACTTTTTATAAGAACTAATTGGATTTTCTTTAAGTTCTTTGTTTAAATTTCTTTCCATACTCTTTAATTAAGACCAAATCATAGTAGGAGGAAAAGAAATATGCTATTATCTTTTAAAAGTCGTAAAGCATACTGATTGTATGCATTGTCTGCAAATTTGCATTGTAACTTGCCTGGGCTTATAATTTCCATTCACTAGAATTTTAGTTAAAGTGCAGTATTTTAGGAGACACCAATGTGCGTTTATTTCTTGAATTTTCTGAAATTAAAACTTAAAGCATCACACACTTGTAATATGGCATAGTGCTTTCTGCCGTTTGAATTTTGTTGTCCTTTATATGGAGTAACAACTTTTAGCCTTCTATTTCAGATGTGCCATTTGGGGGTGCCAAAGCTGGTGTTAAGATCAATCCTAAAAACTATACCGTAAGTACCTGAGTGAAGTTTGTGCACACGATGTGTTTACAAAGGACTCGAAATTACTGGGCTTCTGTGTATCCCTCATGCCAGTGAGATTAGTGGTCTCTATTGCTTTTAAGAGGAGTGGAAATACAAGTAAATAATTAACTTATTGCGTGTATTGCCATATAAAAGGTCACTTGCTTAATGTCAGTGTCCCTTTTCATTTTCTTACTTGTTTAGATGGTAATTAATACCTTCATTTTCTTAGGTACTTATGTCCATGTTGATAAATTGCTATGATCTGAGATTTTTATACCAGGATCTCAAGGTTCTAGTGACAAATATCTTAACTAATCTGGTAAAAATCTTATTGTTTATCCTATCAGTTCCAAGTTAATTAAAGATAGTTATTGCTATGTTTTATAGTACGAAATTAACATCTATTAACATATATAATTTTATTCTTTTAAAAGTTCACCATTTAAATGAAAATATACATAGGGATTGTTTGTAGCATCCTATATTCATACAAAGAGAACAAGATCTGGGATGTGAGCCCTAGTTCTGCTGTCTGTTTTTTGTATTCTCTAATTTCTGATTTCTATTTTCTTATGTTTAAAATGGAAATGGCTGCTTTATGAGTTGTTCTGAGGGTTACGCAAGAAGATATCTGAAAACTCAAATAAATGACCTATAAATAGAAAATATGATACAACTATTAGTTATCGCCATGGGTAGTTTTGCTTTCAGAAAATTTGTTTTCATTTTATTGTGGTTTTCATTTTTTTTCCTTTACAGGATAATGAATTGGAAAAGATCACGAGGAGGTTTACCATGGAGCTGGCAAAGAAGGGCTTTATTGGTACGTACTGCCTTATAGGTTTCCACATGGGCTGGGAACATCTAAAAGTGGTAGTCTTGATTAGACTCCTGCTTTTATCTATGTGCACATGGAACCGTTTTGAGAAACGGTTCTATGATAAATATGGTGCACATCCCTGGGCCTGCTTATAATACAGCTCCAGTAGAAAGTTCAGTTCTCAGTATGCAGTGTGGACACCAGGAGAGGTCGCCTCCACGTCTTCTCCATGTGTGATGTAGTAAAGGTCTTTGATCGGTATAACAGCATTGTGCAGTCTCTGTTGTGACATCCAGAAAGAGTAGGGCCTTCCTTTTAGGAACTAAATAATACCTGTGTTATAAACATTGTTTAATATGTAAAAAGCAGTTTTACTGTCGTGATCCTATTGTTCTGAAAGCAGGGAGACATCTGATGCCTTTGGGAACTGGAGGCTTACACGGGCCTGTCCCTTCAAAGCAGTGGGCACAGGCCACAAGGTGGGGAGGCTCGTGGTGACTCACTCTGCCGTCACTGGCTGATCTGGAGGATTTCTGAGCCTCTTAATGTTTATTACTAGGAGCTTTTGCCAAACAGACTCAATTACTGAGGGTATGGATCTTCTGCTTGCTGTTTCTGTGTCGTGCTATCTGTGCTGCAGCAGCCCTGGTGGTCTCGTGGTTAAGATTCAGCGCTCTCATCACTGCGGTATTTCAAATGCCGGCAGAGTCATGCATGGTAAACAGATTTTAGCGGAGCTCCCAGAGGAGCGAGAAGGACCTGGCCACCCACTTCCAAAAACATCGGCCATGAAATATGCCCCTTTTTTAGGAAAAGAAAGCATGTAATAAATAAACTAATGTAGAAATAAATATAAGTAACACTAGGACTTTACTAGATTTGGCCTGTCTTTCATGCTTTGAAAGGCATTTGGATTCTTGGCATGCCTCCTCCTCTCCACCACCATGGGTTTTCCTTGTACAGTCATTGTACGGGGGGAGCACTAGTTAATGTGAGTGGACTGCCTCCTTCACAGGAATGCCTGCTATGTCTGAGATTTGGTGAATTGAAGTCCCGTTCAGCCTATCGGGAGCCTTCACAACTTTTCATATCACATTGCCTTTTAGCTTAAACCTCAAGAGAATTTAATGTTCTTGATTGGTTTCAGACTTTAATCAGCTTTATTTATTGCCCATATCTAGAGTACATCCAGCTTAATTTTCTCTATATTGACAGGTACCTTATAGTTTCAAAGGTTAAGTGATTCATTGATACAGAAAACAGATTGGTGGTTGCCAGAGGGGAAGGGGGTGGCGGGAGGGTGAAAGGGATAAAGGGGCACGTGTGTACAGTGACAGGTAAAAACTAGACTGTTGGTGGTGAATACAATATAGTCTAAACAGAAATCGAAATAGAAGGATGTACACCTGAAATTTATATAATGTTATGATCCAGTGTTACCTCAATAAAAAAAAAAATCAATGGGACAAAAAAAGTGGTTCATTCAAACACTGAAAGCTTAATACTAGCCATTTGAGTTCTTTGCTTATGTGCAAAAGCCACATTAACACAGAGAACGACCGAACCTGATATCTGGGCCCAGAAAGCTTTGTAGCATAAGAGGGAGGCAGGAGTTAGTTCTCTTTCTCCTGCCAGGACTCAGAGCTAGTCCTGGGCAAACTTTCTGAATTGATGGCATTTCTCTGTTATTGGGCGGCTCCCCTTTCCACAGAGAGCTTCAGGTTGCGAGTTAGACCTGAGTCTGCATCCTGGCCCTGTCGCATTGTGAGAGTTTAGTTAGGATTGTCTTTTCTGCAGGAAAAAACAGCTGAGATTTTGATCGGGATTGCATTGAATCTGTGGACCAGTTTGTGGAGTGTTGCCGTCTTAATCAGTCAGTGAACACTGAGTGTCTTTCCATTTGTTTAGGTCTTCATTAATTTCTTTCAATGACGTTTTGTAATTTTCAGTATACAAGTCTTACACTACTTCTTAAAGTTTATCGTAGTATTTTATTCTTTTTGATGCTGTCTTAAGGGATACCTTGGTCTGCAGTATTTTCTTGTGAGGTCTTAAGTATCAGGATAACACTGGCTAGTAGAATGAGTTGAGAAGTATTCCTTCCTCTTCTGGGTTTTTTTTTGGAAAAGTTGTGAAAGGTCCGTGTTAATTCTGTTGGGTGACTTTAGTATTGTGTGAGTTTAGATATCCCCTTTATAAACTGTAGTTTCCTTGCAATAAGCTGATGTCTCCATCTTTTTCATCTTCTGTATCTCCATGCACCAGAATTATCCTTTCAACTCTGCCCCTATGTTCCTGTTCTCTCAAAGCAGTTACTGTTTTTAGCCAATTTTTCATCTTATTTATGCCATCATGGGATTGAGTGATAGCATTTTAACTTTCCTGAAGGTAGTTGCCTGTTTTAAAAAGGACGGACTTTCAGGGGCTGGCCCCGTGGCCGAGTGGTTAAGTTCGCGTGCTCCGCTGCAGGCGGCCCAGTGTTTCGTTAGTTCGAATCCTGTGCGCGGACATGGCACTGCTCATCAGACCACGCTGAGGCAGCGTCCCACATGCCACAACTAGAAGAACCCACAACGAAGAATACACAACTATGTACCGGGGGGCTTTGGGGAGAAAAAGGAAAAAAATAAAATCTTTAAAAAAAAAAAAGGACGGACTTTCAGACCTATTCTTTGTAAGGTATTTGAGAATTTATCTGTAATTCAAACATTACTTACAGTCTGTGCATCCCTACACATTGATTTTGTATGGGGTAGAAAACTCACAAGCCTACTGATAATGTTGTGTGATTTTGCTTTGGGTCCAGGGAGCTCTCTCACCTTAGCATGTCTGGACTAACTGATGTTGAGAAGTAATTTATCATTGCACATTTATGATTTACAAACTGTGTACTCAATACATGTGCCAATGTGCCAATAGCCCTTCTCCAACTGCAATTGTTCTTTGAGGCAGCAAGCTTATTTGATACTTGATATTGCTAAAAACAAGCAAAATGCTTTCGTAGATACTGCTGGAAAGATTCAGGAGCCATTTGTCATCTATACCTTAGGAGAAAGACAGTCTGATTAAACGAATTGTACTAACCTCTAGTTGAGGTATGTTGCTCTAAAGGAATGGAAATTGTGAGCAAATGGCAGCAGCAGAGCCCTGTTATCTGAGGTTGAGGCTAAGCTGTGCCATTAATCCTTCCAAGTCGGGGAGTTGTAGGCGGGGTGACGGTGGCTTCGGGGAGGTTACACTTCATGGCGTTTATGAGATGCCTGAGGAAAAGGTACTGGGACGGAGGAGAGTTACAGACTGGGGACGGGGGGCAGGAGTGGAAAAAGCAAACTTTGGCCATTTTAAAGTTGTCTTATGCCAGTCCTTTATCCATTACATCATGACTTGTGCAAAGAAGTATAGTATCTAGGACCTGGGCCCCTGAAATGTGGACGAATATTAACATGTACCTTATTCTCTTGGTTAATTAGAAAAAACTCGAGTACAGCCTTTGGAAAGAACTTTATTTATTTGGGAGTCTTAATAGTTTGTTTTTAAAGTTGTATTTTTCTTTTTACAAAGATAGTGAGTTTATATTATATAATTGAAACAATATGGAAAGATATAAACAAGGCTGAGATCCAAACATGGCGAACAGGTTTGTGCATAGCTTTCCAAACCTCTGCACCTAAACCTACACATGGAAATTTGTGTATAGATATATATAGAGAGAGAGAAAGAGAATTTTATGTAAATTGGAGCGTATTATACGTGCTGTATGAAACGTGCTTTTTTCCACATGGATATTTTGGTGATGATTCCAAGTCGTTTACATGGACATAAACCCATCCTTTTGTTCTTACTATTTTTGATAGAAATATTTGTACGTATTCCTGCCTTTACAGATCTGAGTGAGCATCATTTAACACGCTTTTATCTGAGATCTCCCCACGGCCGTCAGTGCTGTCGTCGGTACCTCGTGCTGCTTTTGAGCTAACTTCTCGTTATCCTCGAACTTTTTAATTTGCTGTGATCTGAGGAATTGAAAGCCAAGGCCTAAAACTTTTATGTTCACTGACTAGGCTTTGAATAGTAGTCAAAGCAGCACTCTGCCGTGGGTAGAAGAAGTATGGGGCTTAACACGAGTGCTTCAGCTGTGTGTCTTTCTCCCCTTCCTTTTCTCCTTGGCAAGGCGGGCTTACACTCCCAGTAAGTGGTATGTTACCCTGCTGTCTCATACGCCTGTGCTCCCTAACCCCAACAATCCTCCTTGTCTAGGGCAAGATGGTGTTGTTGTCTCTAACTACAGTTTAAGGAGCCGAGGTCAAGAGAGGCTAAACCCATTGCCTGTGCTTTGCCCATCCAGAAGCCTGCTGAGTGACTTATATCTGTTGTGCATAGCTAACTTTTGTACATTAGCAAGTAAATGCCAGCGGGAGAAATTATCGTGTAACATTGGGTGTGTATAAATTTGTGAAACATTGAATGAGTATTTCTGCAACTTCAATTAGTTACCTAAATGAAATGTAAAGTTTTCTAGCCGCGGTAGCTTTGTTATTATAGAGGATTACAGGAATCTTTGTGTTTGAGTTGAGTTTATCTTAAAAACTGGTGCGCTACCCTTTCCCTGTGCCCCTAGGTCCTGGCATTGATGTGCCTGCCCCAGACATGAGCACGGGAGAGCGGGAGATGTCCTGGATTGCTGACACCTATGCTAGCACCATAGGGCACTATGTGAGTACCCACCAAATGCCTGAAGGCTTCATGTCCTACCACGAGAAATAACAAGCCGATTATATGTGGAAGTGGAGAATTCCCTTTTCTCCTCCCCTTTCATCATATCTTGATTTGCATGTCATTTTACTTCTGTCTCTATTCTTGAATCATAATGGTAGTGAACACGGATTAAGCTTTTACTTGCATGCCGCCCTATCCTGGAGGCTGGGGCGGGACCCTCAAAGAGGGGTCACCTCCCAGGGCAGCACACTGCTGGGATCCTGAAAGGGAAATAAAGAAGCATTCCATTCTGACTTTTCCCTCAGAGAGCTTTTATTTAAATAGGAATTAAGCCACATAAGCAGATACGGTATGAAGATAGTGTAATACAAGGGTGGAGAGTTACGGTTTCTGAAGGAAGGCTTCCTGGAAGAGGCGTTCAGGCTAGACCTTGAAAACGGGTAGAATTTGAACATAGGGAGATTTGGGGGATGAGAGGAGAAGCAGTGGCGCTCAGACCGTCTAAGAGAAGCCGTATTTAAAAAGGTAATAGAAGAGTCAAGAGGTAAGTGAACTGGGACGGAAATACCAAGCCTGGCGGTTGCGTTTTGTTTACTGATCAGCGGGGAGCTCTGATCCTGACCCCCGCTTAGGGGAGCATGGGCGGGCAGCGGTGTAGACTGCACTGGAGCAGAGAGAGGACCTCCACCTGTGTCGGCGCCTGTCTTCCTAGCCCAGGAGCCATAAGGGCTGGGGAGAAGCGGTGGCCCACGACAGACAGACTTGGCAGGACTGGGTTGGCTGGGATCAGGAAAAGGACGCGGATGGGTCGAAGAGAACCAGGAGGACTTGAGTGTGGGAGACGAGGCAGTAGTAGTTCCATTAAGACAAAACATAAGGAGAAAAACTAGCTTTCTGTCCCTGAGAGAGATGAAACCGTGAAAAGGAGAAACATATGATGGGTAGGAAGAAAAAGGAAGTTGAAAAAGGCATTCATTTAAAAAATATATATGGAGTACCTGCTACACACAAGGCTGAGTACAAGCAGGGTGTTTTACAGTTGAGATAAAGGCAAGAAGGAGAAGTTTCGATGCCATGAGAAGAGTAATGGGGACCTGAGCAAGTGTTTGGAGGTAAGATCGGGAAAGGCCTCCTTGGAGATGTTTGTAACCTGTGGTCTGCATCCTGAAGGATGAGTCAACGTCAACCAGGGGAAGATCCCGGGGTCAAGTTCTGGAGGCAGAAAGAAGCAAGGTGAAGATCCTGGAGTGCAGAAGAGGTGAACTTGAGATGCTGAGAGCAGACTCTAGGAGCCAGAGTAGAGAGCCAGAGAGCGGGGAGCAGGGAGGCCACTAGAGGAGGGGCAGACCGGATTACCGCCCTGTGCGGAATGGCAAGGACTTTGGTCTTTGTCCTGAAAACCGGGAAGCCGGTGAAGTGCTGATCGTAAACAGGCATGTGGCACAGCTAAGTGTTGATTTCAGGCCTCTGTGCAGCAGAGAATGGGGTTGGTGGGGGCAGGGGACTCCACAGGAGCCCAGGAAAGAGGCGCTATGGGGCTGCCCTGGGCTGGAGACAGATGGACAGGTTGAGGATCTAGGGGGAAGAAAGCAGTCAGTTATCAAAGAATGAGAGGTGCTGAGGGCTCCGTGTTGTGGATATCGAGGGAGAGGGTTTCTGGAAAGAGACCAGTGCAGCAACTGGATCGTCCATGGAATGGCGAGAGTGGAGCCACTGCAAGGGGGTGTTGGGAGAGAGAAGTGGGGCGTGAGAGGAGCCTCCAGTTAGGAAAAATGGCCCTGGAGGGAAGCAGAGGGAAGACGCCTTGAAAGGGGGCTGTTGTCCAAAGAAAAAGGTTTTTGTTTGCCATGTTCATTGACTGGAGGCCACATGTTCTTCCACGTGAGAGACAGACGATGCAGGAGAGATGGGGCGTAGTAAATGTAGCAGTCTTCCAAGGGAATAAAGGCCTAGGGAATTTTCCTTTTAAGGCCCTGGTGGGAAGATCAGCCTTGGAGAAGAGGAACACTTTTTCCTCTGAGCGGGAGGAAGGGGCTGCAGCTCCCACGGAAGCGTTTACAGATGAGTCTCGGTTCCCACGGTGATGGGGTCTGTAGCTGGGAGCATGGCAGGCAGCCTGCCTTCTAGCACTGGCTCCCTCACACGCCAGCCCCGTGACCTCGGGCAAGAGCCTTGAACTTTCTGCCTCAGTTTCCTCATATGTAAAATGACAATAGTAATAGTACCTAGTAGTTCGTGAGACAGTCGTGAGGATTAAATTAATAACAGTGTAAAGCACTTAGAACAGGACCCAGCGCTTAGTGAGCACAGAAAAAAATATTTATAAATACTGCATCAGGTCACTTGCATAAATCCCCTGAAATGAAACAGGAGCAGCATGAGGGCACTTGAAAGAAGTTTGGTTTTGACTCCCATTCCAGAAAACGTTGCTTTTCCACGTCACCTTTTTATGTTAAGTGAGCTATGACTGTGGTCTCTAGTCCTTTTTAAGCAGGACACTAGATTGAATAGTGCAAAGAGTAGGCAACATATTGTTATTCGTAGTTCATTCCCAATGGTGACAGCAAAAGAAAGCTGTGGGAGGCCGCCAGCTAACCCTTGGACTGCGCTGATCGAAGGCTCCTTAAAGTGATAGGAAATCCAGAATCAGGTCCTGAGGTCAGGAAGCCACAGGTTGTGTTACTTATTTCCAGATGTGAACCTGAGCCACGCAGCTCTTCTTGTCTAAGCTGGCCCAGAAGTGCTGGCATTGGAGGGAGGGTGTCATCTCCCTCGCCCCGCCAGGGCCTCTGGGACGATTGGGTATGCCAGGGAGCTGGGCGGCTGGCACCCGGCCTGGCCTCACACAGGAGTGATGCTCTCAGCTCCAGCGTTTGCATTCTCACTGTTCAGAGGCGTTTGGCACTAGGTGGGCAATTCTGTATTCATACGTGTTAATTATTCATGAAGGAAAACTGTGGGAAAACGACTAATTCCATAAATCACTTTTCTAGGCTTCTTTTTTTCTTTTGGTTGGTAATTATACAACTGAGACAATTCTGAGTTCTTTCTGTAAAAGTACTTGGAACAAGGTGGATAAAGAGCAGGCCGCTTTTTAAGTCACCCAGCTACAAGTTAAACTGGGGGCTGGGGCTGGGGTGAGGTAAGGCACTTGACCTTGTTTCACATGGGTAGCGGGTCACATCAACACATTTATTCAATAGTGCATACTCAAGCCACTGATTTAAAATGCTTCCTTATTTTACATAGAGTTCCTGTATATCATGGGACCATCCTTAGTTTCTCCTGTCGCACTGACCGATTTGTCTATTCCACACTCTTCCGGTTGCTCCAGCTTATAGTATATTTGATGCCTTGGAAGGGAAGCCCTCCCAAGCCCCTTGTTTTTTCTAATTATGCTCATTTCTGAACAAGTATACATGCACGTTGTCAATTGAAAGAGTCCAGGAAGCAGGTGGTGAGCGCTGTTCCCCTCCCACTGTGCCTCCCGGAGCCCACCACTGCTGCCAGAGGCTCTGCTCAAACGTGGGCGCCGGCCCCTCGCAGCCTCATGTACCTTTTTAATTTTTTTTTAACTCAGATGATACCATACTAAATATACCAAAAATTGAATTCCTGTAAGTAGACTTTTTGGGTGCATGAGTTATTTTTATTTTGATACATATTCCAGATTGCCCTGCAAACCCCTTAGTTATTTTGTTGTCTTTTTTTTGTAATTTGTGAATATTTTTGTTAATCCTCCCTTTTCCATGAACTTGAGTATTGTCCTTTAAAGTTCTTTTTTTCAAGTGGCATTTTATTGATTAATGTGGTGGAGGGATATCTTTACAACATTAAGTGTTCCCGTCTAAGAGCACCATAATGCCTCTTCCTATCTTAGACTCTGTTGGTGACAAGGTAGGGGCCGGCCTGGTGGCACAGTGCTTAAGTGCACACATTCCGCTTTGGTGGCCCAGGGTTCACCAGTTCGGATCCCAGGTGCAGACATGGCACTGCTTGGCAAGCCATGCTGTGGCAGACGTCCCACATATAAAGTAGAGGAAGATGGGCACGAATGTTAGCTCAGGGTGTCTTCCTCAGCAAAAAGAGGAGGATGACAGCAGATTTTAGCTCAGGGCTAATCTTCCTCCAAAAAGAAAAAAAGACAAGGTAGATTTTAAGACATGCCACTTTTGGGGAGGGGGGTGTATACCCTGATTTAGCAAAGCTTAATATTTGTTAAAGGAATAATAGTTTTAAGCTGAACTATCTCTACTTGTGTGATATTGCTATTTGTATCTACTTGACGTTAAATGCCTAAAAACTGTTTCTGTCATTGAAAAATGCAGTCTACTTTATTGGATATTTTCTAGGAACAGAAATCTGAAAAGGCACTTATCCCTGTTGATGAAAGTCTGCCTTAAACCCACACAGTCCCTAAGAAGCATATGAGTTAAATGAGAATGTGTTCCAACTTTAATCCTTCGTGTAGGCAGTGACCTTGACGTTTCATCTTTCACATCGACCTTGATGCTTCGTCTTTGATGTTGACCTTGATGTTTCATTTTTTACGTTGACCTTGATGCTTCATCTTTGACGCTCTGACCTCTTTTGCAGGATATTAATGCCCACGCCTGTGTCACTGGGAAGCCCATCAGTCAGGGCGGAATCCATGGGCGGATCTCTGCCACTGGCCGGGGTCTTTTCCATGGGATCGAGAACTTCATCAATGAAGCTTCTTACATGAGCATTCTAGGAATGACGCCAGGGTTTGGAGATAAGACATTTGTCGTTCAGGTAAAAATGTTTGCTTTCTTAAAGAATAGCTGATCCACAGAAAGTAAGTTTTTAAATGTTTTTAGATTTGCCCTTTTGAAAATCTGGGTCTTTTGAATCTCTTAAGTTTTGGAATGGATGTTTTTAGAGTAATATGTCCTTTGTTTGCTGAACCTTGGTTTGATTCATGTGACTAGTACCAATCTAAGTATCTCTCACAAACTTGCAAAACTATCACCAACTTCTTTTGGTCAATATTTAAATTGGAATTGTATCCAAAAGGGGAAGTCTCAGACTATTAACGAGTAGACAGAGAGGTTTGCACAGTGATGCAAATTTCAGGAAGAATTTGCTTGATGCTTCATTATTTTACTTAGAGGGATCTAAATTAAGTTGAATGCTACTTTAAAATAGAATTCTTGGGCCGACCCCGTGTCTGAGTGGTTAAGTTTGCGCACTCTGCTTCAGCAGCCGAAGGTTTCATGGGTTCAGATCCTGGACGTGGACATGGCACCGCTCATCAGGCCATGCTGGGATAGCATCCCACATAGCACAACTGGAAGGACCTACAAGTAGGATATATAACTATGTACTGGGGGGTTTGGGTGAGAAAGAGAGAAAAAAAAAAAAAAGATTGGCAACAGATGTTAGCTCAGGTGCCAATCTTTAAAAAAAAAAGATAGAATTCATATTCCTCCCAAATAGTGACTTACCTTTGTAGGAACTGAGGACCTGGGTGGTGTGGCTGACACCACTGCAGTTTTACTTTAGGCCAACAAGGCTGCGCTAACTGAACTTCATAACTCATTTTCCTAGATGACGAAGGGTTGGGTTCCACATTCTTAAACATAAAAATTTATTGCCAAAGAGAAGCCATTTGGTACACTGTTTCTTTAGGAGCAAGGATTTTCAGAACTGGTCCTAAACAAATGGAATGTGTGTTGGTCAGAATATGACTCTCAGCATGTGTACCATGACTGATTTTGGTGTCACGTGTAATTGTTCTTTGCAGGGGTTTGGTAACGTGGGCCTGCACTCTATGAGATACTTACATCGTTTCGGTGCTAAATGTATTGCTGTTGGTGAATCCGATGGGAGCATATGGAATCCAGATGGTATTGACCCAAAAGAACTGGAAGACTTCAAATTGGTATGTCAGTCTCACATCCGAACAGTTCGACTACCCTGAATATGGCAAAATTGAAAAAAGTCTTATTGAAATCTATTTCCATTGCTTATTTTTTAAAATATAAACTCAAAGAACTCTTAATCAGTGAGTCTTCATATCACAGGCGCTAAACATGAACATTTCAACTCTGGTGCATCCATTAACTCTGATTTTCCATCAATTACAGCAACATGGATCCATCCTGGGCTTCCCCAAGGCAAAGCCCTATGAAGGGAGCATCTTGGAGGCCGACTGTGACATCCTGATTCCTGCTGCCAGCGAGAAGCAGCTGACCAAGTCCAATGCACCAAGAGTCAAAGCCAAGGTGAGAGAGACGGTGGGGCTGGTCCAGCCTCCCAGTGTGGAATGACATTGAGGGTGATAGACAAGGTCCAATTGGGTTTCCTCTTTTTTATTACTTTTATTTTATTTTATTTATTTATTTATTTTTTGAGGAAGAGTTGCCCTGAGCTAACATCTGCCAATCCTCCTCTTTTTGCTGAGGAAGACTGGCCCTCAGCTAACATCCATGCCCATCTTCCTCCACTTTATATGTGGGACACCTACCACAGCATGGCGTGCCAACCGCTGCCATGTCCACACCCGGGATTTGAACCGGAGAACCCTGGGCCGCCGAAGCGGAATATGCGAACTTAACCTCTGCGCCACCAGGCCGGCCCCCCCTTTTTTTTTAACAGCTTTATTGGGATATAATTCACATACCGTACAATTCACCCAGGTTTACAATTTAATGGCTATTAGTATATTCACAAAAGTTGTGCAGCCATCACCTTGGGTTTCCTTTTAAACCAAACTTCCAGACATAGTTAGGGGAAATAGAAAGGTGAAAAGTAGTTTTATACACTTTATAGAACAAAATAACTCTCAATTTAACTTAAGCTGGAGCTATGCTTCTCCCCACGGCTCCCTGCCCACATGCACACATCTCTTGCACAGTAGAGGGATTTGCTAGTGTTTTGGGCATTTCTCTATGTTCCTGACTCTCTTGCAGATCATTGCTGAAGGTGCCAATGGACCGACAACTCCGGAAGCCGATAAGATTTTCCTGGAGAGAAACATTATGGTTATTCCCGTAAGTCGTCTGTGTGTATGCCAGGTTTTCTATGTGCTTGCAATCGTAATTGTCTTTCTCAAGGAACTGAGTGAGGGCAGAGGGGGCTTGTTAGTGTCTCAAGCTGTAGTGAATTCTTCATCTTTATTTTGCTTTTAAGAAAACATCGTGGAAGCGTGGTTAGTGTAATAAGCCTGTCAGGTTTTCACTTTGACCTGGACATTTTCTTCCAGCTTCTCGCTCTTTCTTGAGTGTTTTTAGCTGTCTTAAGAATCCAATTACATAATATATACTGTGCTAGAAATACTGTTCTAACTTAAACTCTAAGATTGCCTATGATTCCTGACCTAATGCATTTCAAATGTCCCTTGCTGCTTTAGCAGCAAGCTCATATGAGGAGCGCGTGCTCAGGTTTTTCAGTGGATAAGCGTGGGGTCTCTACCAGAAGGTTATTGGGAACTGGAAGGTGGTGTGGACCCGTGATGCATTTTGAAGAACCCCCTTTGCTGAAAGCACTTAATAAACTCGATGTAACTGCCTTGGGCAGTTAATTGGACGGAATGTTAATCTTCCGGTGAGGCGCCCTTGGACAGTCCCATCCAGTGGTTAGTGGGCAAGCAATTCTGTCTGAGAACTTTTTCAGTGGAGAAGAAACTCTAACCAAAGTTGACCAAATGCTTATAGATTAATAAACCAAAAAAAAAATTTTTTTTTTCCAAATGGGAAAAACCTCAAATGGATTGGGAAGGGGGTTCGTGAAGTTTAAGTGTGAAATTCTTGATGCTATCTAAGATATATTTGGGAAGTTTGAAGCTTAATCTGCTTTCCTGTTAAACTTGGGCTCCTGCATTCTTTGTAAGCTCTTATTAACCGTTGTCCCCTCCTTTCTTTGGCATCTTCCCGTCTCGTTGGCGTTTAGGATCTCTACCTGAACGCCGGAGGGGTGACGGTGTCCTACTTTGAGTGGCTGAAGAATCTCAATCACGTCAGCTACGGCCGCCTGACCTTCAAATACGAAAGGGATTCCAACTACCACTTGCTGAGTGAGTTCTGAGCATCCGCTCCCAAAATGATCTCTTGGGCCAGCTACAAGACTGGAAACGGGGAGAAAGCTTACGCTTTAAGAGGACTGATTTCCTTTTTGTAATAGAGGATTTAATCTCCGAATAGAAAATTGTATTATTCTGTCTCCTGAGCCTTAGACCAAATGTCTGAAGGTTCTTGATGGGTATTCAGTGTATTAACTCTCTCAGAGATATTTGCACTCGCATATTGGTCCTGTGACGTAGTGTTCCCAGGACGTCATCTGCAAGTTGGTGCTATAAAGAGTTTTCATTTTCAGCCAGGAGCTCCTGTTGATCCTCATCCATTTTCTGTGTCTGGTTGCCTTCAGCAAAGGCCTATCTCGTGTCAAGAATCTCTGAGTCTTCTGATGAGAAGACGGCTTTTCCTTGACTAGAGGAGGCTCCAGGGTTAGCAGGAGAATTTCCATCAGGCTGACATGAGACCAGACCTCCCGAGGAGCTCTTTCCTCAGCCCACTCTGAGAAGCTGGGTGAAGTGCTCTATTTCCATTTCTTTTTCCCTCAGCATTTTCTTTTTAAAAGAGCCAAGGAAAAACCTTGGTAATGGGTGTTATGGAAACAGAGCAGTGACCTACATTCGCATTTATATAGGAATTTGGCAAAGCGCTTTATTCCTTTTTAACTGAGTCTTAAGCGATTAACCCTTTTATGACATTGGTGTTGAAGGTTCCTGAAATTCTGTTAGTTTTAGGTTGTAGGTATAGTTTGGGACTCGTTTCGGTTCTTCGTTTTGTTTTTTACTACCAGTATCTTCATCTTTTGGCTTTTTACAGTGTCTGTTCAAGAGAGTTTGGAAAGAAAATTTGGAAAGCACGGTGGGACGATCCCCATTGTGCCCACGGCAGAGTTCCAAGACAGGATATCGGTGAGTATGCGTGTGACCCGGGTGTGTCTTACACACTCGACCTGCCCTCTTCTGTGACCTCAGGCCAGGTGGATTGATCAGAGTCAAGGGGTGTAATCACCATGACAGTAATTATGTGCCTGGCGTGTGCTTCGTCCCTTCCTCGGTCGTTACGTTCTAAAAATGGAGTAAGAATCCAAGTTTAAGATAAATAATTAATATTCTTCTGCTTTTGGTATTTTCGCAATATGGATGACTCAACAAGTGATTCTAACGTAATTGTGACAAATTGTGTATCTTAACTCTTTTAAGCTTCAGAGAAATGGAGAGAATTGAAAAGTAAACATTAGATTGAACTATAGGAAAAATGGAAATTGCTATAGGGACTCGATAAAGAGTTAAAGAAAGCAGATTAGAAAGGTGGCTTATGTTAATTAGCTCCTGGCAGGATGTGTCGATGGCGCATACACATCACAAAGGGAGTTGCTTCAGCACTGAATGGCAGAAGACAGGAAGAGCAAAGTCACAGGAAATATGCCAGGAAAAGAAAGCTTGACCTCCTGTGGAAGAAAGACAGATTAAGTAAAGTTTCTTAAACAATTGCTGGATCTCGTTCTCCCCATGTCCCGTGGTGGGGAGTACCACATTCTGATAACAATGCACATTGCTGCGGCTCTTTGAAAAATTTGAAGAGTTTTCAAGTGTTCCTGCCCTTTGACACGATAGTAACGTCCCCCTCTAGGAATTTATCCCAAGAAAATAATTCTAAAGGAGAAGAATGAGCCATGCATGATGATGTCATTGGAACTGTGTTTGCAGTCAATTTTTTAGATTATTTGTGATTTAACAGTCATGTATATATGTCAGGGAAATGGCTAAGTTATGATAAATTCTTCTTAGGAAATGTTCCATCGTGGAAGATAATTTAAGACTATATTGCAATATGGGAAGAAGTTAAGAATTTTGTTTTGAAGAAGAAAGGATGCTTTTGCCACCCTGGGTACTAACTGTTCCCTGAGTGAGCCTTGCGCTTTCCCAGAGCCGCGTCTGTTAGTTCTGGTCCCTCTGTCTGGATGCCTTGACCCACTCTGTTCTTGAGTATCTTCATATCTCTCTGGCTTTTCCTGAAAGACCCTCTGCGTGCCAGCGTGTCCTACCTCCTGCCATCACAAGTGCCTCACAGCGCGCACCATGCACGGCAGGCCTGGCCACTGCTGCCACCCTCAGAGGGGCTTCTTGCTCCCCCTCGGGTCACCCCGTGTCCCAGCACGGGCCCGGCCCAGAGCGGTCACTCAGCTTGAAACCTGGGTGGGGAGTACAGAAAGAAGACAGTCAGCTACTTAGGAAGAAGCTCTGATGATGTTCTTTTTATCTTTTTTTAGATAATCGTTGCCCAGTGTATTGGTCTCCCAGTTTTCAAATGCTACTAATTTTAGACTTTAATGCTGTTTCTCACCTCTTACCGACTTACCTATTTCAGAAGTCTTGTAATAAGTGTCAGTTGAAAAGCCGGGTTTTTTCCAGCTCCTTCCCCCTAGTCCGCCCTCCCCAGCCGTGCTCGGGCCCTGCCAGGACCTGCGTCACTGATTCTCCCGTCTTTTCGCTGTCCCTCTCCACCCCCTCTATGTCCTCAGTTCTCCACTCATCCCACCTGAGTCCCTGCTCCATCCTTGCGGTCACTCCTGGTCTTGTTTCCTGTCATCCTACCCCCTCGCTAACACCCGTCCCCCATGAGCCTGGCTCTCTGCCCCTCCGCGCCTGCGCCCCTGTGCCCCTGTAGCTGGAGGCCCTGCCGACAGTTCACCCCCTGACCGCCAGCCTCGGGGGTCTCCCAGAGGTGCCCAGCAGCTGTACTGCTTTTCCCTGTTCTTCCGTTTCCTCACCTTCCTGGTTGATTTTATCGTATGTACTCCTTTTCTCTCTCCTCTGCCCTCTCGCTCATGGCCTGGTACCTGTTCACCGAGGACGCCGAAGCAGTCAGCAAGCGTCCACATCTGCCCAGCTCCTATGCACTGACTTGGGTTGTGTTTCCTCTTGCTACCGAGCACTTCTTTGTGCTTCCACCTAAGCACAGGTCTTGTTCTGGACATTGGGCAGCCTGTTTCCAGCTTTCTCAAATGCACTGGACAGGCAGACCTGTCCCTCTCTCTCCGGCATAATCCGTTTTCTGTCTATTCAGTCATTCCTGTCAAGGTACCAAATGCTGTCCCAAAAAATAGAAATCTTAATCCCACTGCCCCTTCCAGGTCTTGCCGTTTTTATCTCCCATATAGCAAAGCTCCCACAGAGTTGTGTGTACTCTGTCTTCTAATTGTTCCGTACTCGACCCTACTCTAACGCCCGCCACTCCACCAGAACTGTCCTCGTCAAGGTGACCAGTGACATCAGCTGTTGTCACAAGTGATCGCTTCCCCTTGAAATATTCTCTGAGCTTCCAGGACACCACATTCCCCTCTTTTCTTCCTACTTCATCAGCCATTCCTCTCTTTGCCTCTCGCTCTCCTTGTCATCTCTCCACCCTCTGAACATTGAAAGGCTTCGGTCCCTGAATTCACAATTTTAGTGATCTTGCACAGCCTCATGTATATGCTGTCTCCTCCCACTAAAATAGAAACTCCGTGAGAACAGAGCATTTTCATTATTTTGTTTTCTGTTGTGTCCCCAGTGCCTAGAAGAGTGCTTACTTAGCACGTAGAGGGGACTCAATAAATGTTTGCTGAATGAATGAGTGAGTATAGAAACCATATTCCACCTGTAAAGCAAGTTTTTTCTCTCTTAACTTGGTAAAACAAACTTTAACCCAAATGTTTTTTGATTGATAGAAATGTTATAGAAAGATACCTTCTTAACTGAATACAGGCATACCTCGTTTTATTGCTCTTTATTGCACTCCACAGATACTGCATTTTTTACAAATTGAAAGTTTGTGGCAACCCTGTGTTGAACAAGTTTATCGGTGGCATTTTTCCAACAGTATTTGCTCACGTCATGTCTCTGTGTCCACATTTGGGTAATTCTCGCGATGTTTCAAACATTTTTATTATTATATTTGTTATGGTGATCAGTGGTCTTTGATGCCACTATTATAATTGTTTTGGGGCCCCACAAACCACACTCGTATAAGACGGCAAACTTAATTGATAAATGTGCTCTGTGTTCTGACCGCTCCACCAACCAGCCATTACCCATCTCTCTCCTTCTCCTCGGGCCTCTCTATTCCCTGAGACACACTGATACTGAAATTAGGCCAATGCATAATCCTCCAATGGCCTCTAAGTGTTCAAGTGAAAGGAAGAGTCAGACGTCTGTCACTTTAAATCAAAAGCTAGAAATGACTAGTAGCTTAGTGAGGGAGGCGTGTTGAAAGCCAAGACAGGCCAAAAGCTAGGCCTCTTGACCCAAACAGTTAGCCAAGTTGTGAATGCAAGGGAGAAGTTCTTGAAGGAAATTAAAAGTGCTGCTCCAGTGAACACACGAATGAGAAGAAAGCAAAACAGCCTTATTGCTGATAGGGAGACAGTTGCAGTCTGGACAGAGGATCAAAGCAGCCACCACATTCCCTTAAGCCAAAGCCTAGTCCCGAGCCAGGCCCTCACTCTCCTCAATTCTGTGAAGGCTGAGAGAGGGGAGGAAGCTGCAGAAGAGAAGCCTGAAGCCAGCAGAGGTCGGCTCACGCGGTTTAAGGAAAGCAGCGTCTCCACAGCATAAAAGTGCAGGTGAAGCAGCAGGTGCTGATGCAGAGGCTGCGGCAAGATCTCCAGAAGCTCCAGCTGAGATGGTAATGAAGGGGCTGCACTGAACAACAGACTTCCAACGCAGATGAAACAGCGTTCTATCGGAAGATGCCATCTAGGACTTTCATAGCTAGAGAGGAGAAGTCAGTGCCTGGCTTCAAACTTCAAAGGATAGGCTGACTCTCTTGTGAGGGGCTGATGCAGCTGGTGACTTTCAGTTGAAGCCAGTGCTCACTTACCATTCTGAGAATCCTAGGACCCTTAAGAATTACGCTAAATCTCCTCTGCCTGTCCTTCATAAATGGAACCACAAAGCCTGGATACAGCACATCTGTCTACAACATGGTTTACTGAATATTTGAAGCCCACTGTTGAGACCTACTGCTCAGAGAAAAGATTGCTTTCCAAATATTACTGCTCATCAACAGCCCACCTGGTCACCGAGGAGCTCTGATGGAGATGTGCAACGAGATGAATGTTGTTTTCATGCCCGCTAGCACGACATCCAGTCTGCAGCCCATGGATCAAGGAGTAATTTCAACTTTCAAGTCTTATGATTTAAGAAATACATTTTGTAAAGTATAACTGTTATAGATGGTGATTCTTCTGATGGATCTGGACAAAGTAAATTGAAAACCTTCTGGAAAGGATTCACCATTCTAGATGTCATTAAGAACATTCATGATTCATGGGAAGAGGTCAAAATACCAACATTGACAGGAGTTTGGAAGAAGTTGAGTCCATCCCTCATGGATGACTTGAAGGGGTTCAAGACTTCAGTGGAGGAAAAAACTACAGATGTGCTGGAAACAGCAAGAGAACTAGAATTAGAAGTGGAATCTGAAGACGTGACTGAATTGCTGCAAGCTCATGATAAAACTTTAACAAATGGCAAGTTGCTTTTTATAGATGAACAAGAAAGTGGTTTCTTGAGGTTGCATCTACTCCTGGTGAAGATGCTGTGAAGATTTTGAAATGACAACAAAGGATTTAGAATATGGCATAAACTTAGTTGATAGAGCAGTGGCAGGGTATGAGAGGACTGACTCCACTTTTTTTTTTTTAAAGGTATGCTTTTTAGTGAGGAAGATTGGCCCTGAGCTAGCATCTGTTGCCAGTCTTCCTCTTTTTTTTCTCCCCAAAGCCCCAGTACATAGTTGTATATCCTAGTTGTAAGTCATCTTAATTCTTCTGTGTGGGACACCGCCACAGCATGGCTTGAGCAGTGCATAGGTCTGTACCCAGGATCCAAACCGGCAAACCCTGGGCTGCTGAAGCAGAGCCTGCGAACTTAACCACTCGGCCACAGGGCCAGCCCCTGACTCCAATTTTGAAAGAAGTTCTGTGGGTAAAATGCTATGAAACAGCATTGCATGCTACAGAGAAATGGTTCATGAAAGGAAGAGTCATTTGATGCTGTCAACTTCATTGTTGTCTTATTTTAAGATATTGCCACAGCCACCCCAGCCTTCAGCAGTCACCACCCTGATCAGTCAGCAGCCACCAACATTGAGGCAAGACCCTCCACTGGCAAAAAGGTTGTGGCTTGCTGCAGGCTCATATGATGGTTAGCATTTTTTTTTTTTTTTAAGATTTTATTTTTTCCTTTTTCTCCCCAAAGCCCCCCGGTACATAGTTGTGTATTCTTCGTTGTGGGTCCTTCTAGTTGTGGCATGTGGGACGCTGCCTCAGCGTGGTTTGATGAGCAGTGCCATGTCCGCGCCCAGGATTCGAACTAACGAAACACTGGGCCGCCTGCAGCGCAGCGCGCGAACTTAACTACTCGGCCACGGGGCCAGCCCCGATAGTTAGCATTTTTTAGCAATAAATTATTTTTTAATTAATGTATGTACATTGTTCCTTTAGACATAATGCTATTGCGTAACTTTTATGTGCACTGGGAAATCAAAAAGTTCTCGTGACTCGCTTTATCACCGTCTGGAACCATACCTGCAACATCTCCGAGCTATGCCTGTCGAGTATTAATTGGATCAAGTTCAGCATAGACAACTTTTGTTGGTGACCCCCTTTAAGTTTTTATCTAGCATCTCAGGATATGTGTTCGATAGCTATATATGTCATATTAGGAGTAATGGTGATAGTTAATTGTCCTAAAATGAGAAAGCATTCCAAAAAACAAATTAGATCTGTTGAAACAAACTGACTTATAGAGATGATTGGCATTGGAAAGAGATAAGCTGACTTGGTGGTCGAAGGCCCTGGGTTGTCTCCCAGCTCTAAAAATAGCTCTCTGCAACCTCGGCCAACGTCCCCCGTGGTTTTAGTTTCCTCAGCAGTAGAACTGGAGGGTTGGGTGAAGAGCTGTTTTAAAAGTTGGTGGCACTGCTGGATATACAGTCAGGATTCTACCCCAGAGCCGCTCTCAGCGGTGACCGGACTCCTTTCTGTGGCCTGTGTGGTGTCCCTGTTCCGCCGGGGGACAGCTGAGTGCGCTGTGATGTGAACAGTGTCATGTGCTGCTGTGGTTTGTCTGCCCCTGAGATGGGCGAGCCGTGCTGCTCCCCCTCCCTGCCCTCGTGTTTCCTGGTCGGTACTGTATTCGTCATTGTACTGTGACCGCATTTTGTGAGTGTTTGTTTGCTGTCAAATATAATGAAAACTAAGTTGTGGTTAAAACACAACTACTAAAATAGGTATCAAGATACTGTACAGAAATTAAGTTTATACTGAAAGACAAAACACTCCTGCCTGGCCGTCTCTTGACCTCAGATCCTTTGTGCTGTCATAGACGAAGCGTGTCTTTCTGTGGTCTTGTTGACCTTATGCTCTTTTTCCTGATAGGGTGCATCTGAGAAGGACATCGTGCACTCCGGCTTAGCTTACACCATGGAGCGCTCTGCCCGGGTACGTGTGCACGTGCTGGCTGCGTTTCTGCTCGTTTCGGGACGAATGGCTCGACCGTGATGTCTCAGCTGCCAGGCTGTGTGTGCGGTGAAAGAAAAGAGCAGTCTGTTTGCATGTTCCTCCGCTGCGTGGAGCAAAACACATCCTTTTCTGGTCTTAAACGATGAGCAGTGTTGTTAGGGTCTTCAATATGTTTACCAGGCTTTTGGAAACTAATCATAATGCCAAGTTAGGAAGGAGTGATGTTTGGCAGTTAGCTAAATATCAAGTAGTTAGCCAAGCTGGATTGCAGCTCAGCCCCACTCTCACAGCTACTGGGAACTGCCTTACTGCAGAATTAGTATAAGTAAAAGGTTTTTTGACCACTTGATCCTTATTTCAAGGCCTTAAACACATTTGAGTCCAGTTTTCCTAATTTTTTTTGAGTTCTGATTCTGTCCACTTAGCTTTATGTTGAAATAGCATGAGCAGATATTAATGGTGGTGCTGGTTGTTAATTTTTTTTATTGAGCATGAATTCACCCTTTTAAAGTATCAATTTAGCAGCCTTAAGTGTATTCCCAAGGCTTTGTAGCCATCACCACTGACTCCAGAACATTTTCGTCACCCCGTTCTTAGTTCTTTTAAATTATCACAAAGCATATCATTAGATGCCCTCGCTCCAGATAACAGGATGTCAAGGAGCACAGAGACAGCTCGCATCTGAGCCTCTCAGGAACGCTTCTTCCTGCCACCTGGTTGGTGCTCTCTGTCAGTCCCTGAGAATTAGCCCTTCCTGACTAGAGGTGGTTCTGCTGCACTTTAATGGTGACAGGGTGGCTTGTCCAGATCCGCCTGTGCCTTGGGTGTCCCTGGCCCTGCTGCTTGAGTCAGTGGGCTTCACTGCGCTTTCTCCTTCTCTGCAGCAAATCATGCGTACGGCCATGAAGTACAACCTGGGGTTGGACCTGAGGACGGCCGCCTACGTCAACGCCATCGAGAAAGTCTTCAAGGTGTACAATGAAGCTGGTGTGACCTTCACATAGACGGATTGCAGCTGACCTCCGCACCACCCTCTCCACCTCCTCATCTGCAGACCTATCGCGAGTTTACATGTAACCACGGAAGTCTATCTCCTCATGACTTAGTAGATAATGGACACCATCCTCAGCAAGTCAATCCAAATCAGCCCCTTAAGAGGAAAGAAATTAAGCTTAGGGGATCATGTACAAGCTAATGAGTGTGAGAGTAGAAATTACCTGTGCCAGAGAGCCATTTGGGTGTTTGGCCTTTCCGTAGAAAGTCTCTGCCGTCTGGCTGTGCCGCCTTGCTGCGTGGCTGCTTGCCAGCGCCGGCAGGGCTGTGGCCCCAGGGAAGCACCTGTTGTCCAGAAGCCGTCAGCTGCTTGCTGCTTCAGCTCTGGACAGGTCTGAGACGTGCCCTGACTTCGACACATTTAAGAAGCAGGTGTCTGGCACCTTCAGAAGGTGGCATGGTCCTCAAGTGAGTTATTGGTATTTTACATCAGCAAAATAACTCAGTTTTACAGGTTACAAACAAAACAGAAGCTCTTTCTCTTTATGCATTTTATTCTTTTAGAATAAAATAAGTACACGCTGCTGTAATAAAATTGCCTTTGATCACTTAACAAGCCTAACCCTGACTCAAGCAGTGAATGCCTATAAACATAATAAATGAGAAAAGCTAGTATTTTTATAACATAAAACAGTATCCTTTATAGCTTATCAATCGTGTATTGTTGTCCAGCAAAAATAAAAAGCCCAATGGAGAATTAAGTTATCTTCATAGCTGCAAGTGACGGGGGCTATTTTTGTTACGACTGTCGGAATTCACTAGCCACAATTATGACATCTAGTCCAAAGAATGCAGTAACCTCCTTATCATGTTAGTTCATTGTTCTTCTCTTTGGAAGATCTGTTGTGTTGACTAATTAAACAATAATTCAAGTAGAATGTCCCAGAAAAAAAACCCTTGGGCTCTGTGTTTGGAGTCTGCCTGGCAGCTCTGAGCGTTGCCAGTGGCCCCGACTTGGCCTGACTCTGCGTCCTCTTTCAAAGGCCTCACATTCTGCACACCGCTTCCTTGACAGTGGGCTGAAAACACCCTTGGGGTGAGTGTTTTGTTTGGGAGTTATTTGGCCAGGGCCTTTTCCATAGTAGTGTCCCAATGAAGTACTAGATATTATTTATGTAAGAATGAGCTTTTTTTTTTTTAACAATAATATCCTTTCAGAAATTTCTAACTACTTTGTAACTGCATGACTTAACCTGGTGATAAAAGCAGTTATTAAAAGTCTACCTTTTCCAAAGCTCATGTTTCTTTTCTGTGTTTTTATATTTGGTAGTGTTTGTTTAGTAGATGATAAAACTACAATCGGGTTTCTAAAATGTTTGAAACCACCGCCTACATAACATTTCTTTCTGCTATACTGTGAGCTGCCGAAATATTATCCTGAAGTTTTTTGTATTTCGTTCTGTTAGACAGTTGTCAGTGGTTATTCTTGGGGAAGAGGTTCTCGTGCCTAAAGCTGATACACTCAAGTAATTTTTAGTGCCTTTTTTTAATGAAGGAAGGCTTCATTGATTAGGGTTTTGTTTTTAATAATTTAGCCCCAGGATGTAATAATTTAGGACAGAATACTAACCGTGTTCGGCAGGACTGGGTTCTAGACCTGATCCCACCAATTGCTTACCTGCCAAATCTGGAACATGACTTTCAGCTGGACTCTGTCAGGTCCTGCTTCTGCGTCTCCATGGTTCTGAGCATCCAGTCTGGCAGTGGATGAACAAGCCCCCTGGCACCATGGACACACTGAGCTCTTCCCGAGCCGCTGGTGTCCACTTGCCCTCTAGGTGGAGCACTGACGTGTTGGGGAAAGTGATAGGGAAACAAGGTCCAGAATGTATGTGGAACAATACCGGCTGGGGCAGTCGTTTCGGTTGTAGCCTTTGGCTAACATTGGGAGTGTTGATAGAGATTTTTTTAAAGATTAGATATATGTTCATGGGTGTTATTGATATTGGTGCTAGAAAACCGGTATTGTGCACACTAGCTATATAAGACAGCACGGCACTGGTGTCTGTCAACCGTGGTTCCTGGAGGTTTCAGTTAGAAAATTCTCGTCAGTTACTCTTGGCTTTAATTTATTTACTTTAAAACTCACATATAATGCTCTAAAGTTAACTGCTTCTGAAATAGCCGTGGATGGCTTATGTAGCGCTTGAAGAATACTTAACTGTTGCCTCGTGAACCCCTACAGCAGAACGTGTTCTCATTACCCTGACGGATGAAGTTTAGGGAAATGAGAAGTAAAATCTTGATTTTTTTTTTTTCCCCCAAACCTGGCGCCTTAAACTCAGAAGCTTTAAGTAACTTCCCTAAACGTCCCTGGCAGGCTTTCTTAGCCTGCACTCGTTAAGGCAGTCAAAGCATGGCACATGGAGAAAACTACGTCTGTGAACCTTGTATGAAACTGCTGCAAAAGAATTTTCTTTTTTTTTTTCTTTTTTTGCTTTGTAATGTCAATGTTACGATTTTTAATTGTTTTTTTACAAATAACTTTTATTGGCTTGTTTTTTTAATCAAAGCTTACACATAGTTTAGACAGTTTCTCAGCCTCAGCACTATTAACATTTCAAGCCATGTGTTTACTGAGGACTGTCCTTTGCATTGTAGGATGTTTAGCAGCATCCCTGGCCTCTACCCCTTAGATGCCAGGAATACCTTTCAGTTGTGACCATGAAAAGTGTATTCAGATAGCCAGATGTCCCCTGTGGGGCAAAATTACCCCCTACAGAGAATTATTGGCGTAGAGAGCCAAATAGTTCTACAAGACTTGTGAACGACAGCTCGTCCCCTCCATCCGTACCCCACCACACCATTTTCTACTCCCCAGAGGCAACCACTTCCAACGATTTTAAACGTTTCGTTTTCATTCTCTTCAAATCCTTTGCCCAGTTTTTAATTGGGTTATTTATCTTTTTATTGTTGAGTTGTGGGTTCTTTATATATTCTGGATATGTGACCCTCATCAGATAATACGATTTGCAAATATTTTCTCTTATTCTGTTGGTTTGTCTTTTCATTTTCTTGATGGTGTTCTTTGACACAAAAGTTTTGAATTTTGATCGAGTCCAATTTATTTTTTCTTTGATTGTTACATATAAGGGTCATATTTAAGAAACCGTTGCCGGGCTGGCCCAATGGTGCAGCGGTTAAGTGCGCACGTTCTGCTTCGGCGGCCCAGTTCTGATACCTGGTGCAGACATGGCTCCGCTCTGCAAAAAGTGTCCCACATGTAAAGTAGAGGAAGATGGGCACGGATGTGAGCTCAGGGCCAGTCTTCCTCAGCACAAAGGATTGGCAGCAGTTAGCTCAGGGCTGATCTTCCTCAAAAAAAAAAAAAAAAAAAAAAAAACAAGAAACCATTGCCTAATCCAAGGTCACACAGGTCTGATGAATTCTAACAAATATTTAAAGAATTAACACCAATCCTATTCAAACTTTTCCCCAAAAATAGAAAAGGGAATACTTTCTGACACCTTCTGTGAGGCCGTTATTACCCTGGTAGCAAAGCCAGACAAAGACATCACAAGAAAAGAAAACACCATCATCTCTTATGAATATAGACACAAAAATAATCAACAAAATACTAACTAACAAACTGAATCCAGCAGCTCATTCTAAGTATCATCCATCGTGACCGGGTCGGATTTGTCTCAGGAATGCAAGGGTCATTCAACATAAGGAAATCAATCAATGCAGTACACCCCATTAATAGAAATAGAACAAAGGGGGGGGCGCATAATCATCTCAAGAGATGTGGGAAAAGCATTTGACAAAATTCAAGGCCCTTGCATAATAAAAACACTCAGCTAGGAATAGAAGGAACTTCTTGAACACGATAAGGGACATTTATGAAAAACCCACAGCTAACACTCATTGGTGAAAAACAGAAAGCTTCCCCTTAAGAGGAACAAGGCAAGGATTCTTGCTTTTGCCTCTGCTATTCGACATGTACTGGAAGTCCTAGCCAGAGCAATTAGGCCAGAAAAAGAAGTAAAAGGCATCTGAATTGGAAAGGAAAAGAGAAACTATCTCCATTTGCAGATGACATGATTCTATATAGAGAAAATCCCATAGATACACAAACACCAAAAACAAAAACGTACTGGAGTTAATGAATTAAGCAAAGTTGTAGGGGCCAGTCCTGTGGCCGAGTGGTTAAGTTCACGGTCTCTGATTCGGCAGCCCAGGGTTTCGCCAGTTCGCATCCTGGGCGCGGACATGGCATCACTCATCAAGCTATGCTGAGGCGGTGTCACACATGCCGCAACTAGAAGGACCTATGACTAGAATATACAACTGTATTGGGGGGCTTTGGGGAGAAAAAGGAAAAATAAAATCTTAAAGTTGCAGGATACAAGATCACAAAAAATCAGTTGTTTTTCTATACACCAGCAATGAGCAATCCGTAAAGGAAATAAGGAAAACAATTCCATTTACAATAGGATCCAAAAGAATAAAATATCTAGGAATAAATTTAACCAAGGAGGTGAAAGCTTTGTACACTGAAAACTACAAAACATTGTTTAAAAGAGATGAAAGAATACTTCAATAAATGGAAAGACAGCCCATGTGCATAGGTTGGAAAAAATATTGTTAAGGTGACAATACTGAAAGTAATCTACACATTCAAAATTTCTATCAAAATTCCAGTAGCCGTTTTGCAAAAATAGCAAATCTGATCCTAAAATTAATGTGAAAGTGCAAGTGGCCCCAAATAACCAAAACAATATTGAAAAAGAAAACTAAACTTGGAGGACTCACACTTCCGGTTTTAAACCTTAATACAAAGCTATAATTAAAATTGTGGTACGAATAGAATACTGTCAACTATACTTTTTTAAAAACTGGCACTGGCGTACAAACATAGACCAATGGAATGGAATTGAGAGTCCAGAAACATGTATGGTCACTTGGTTTTCAACATCGGTGCCAACACCACTTGTATTACTTTCCTGGGGCTGTCTTAAAAAATTAGATGGCTTAAAACAATGGGACTTAATTGTGTCAGAGTTCTGGGGGCTGTAAATTGAGGCATCAGCATGGCCGTGCTCCCTCTGAAGCCAGTAGGGGAGAACTTCTTGCCTTTTCCTAGCTGCTGGTGGTGACCATCAGTCCTTGGCGTTCTTTGGCTTGCAGCTGCATCACTCCAGTCTCTGCCTTTGTCCTCTGTGGGTGGCCATCATCCCTCTGTGTGTCTGTGTCTTCTTATACGGACACCAGACTTATTGGATTAAGGTCCCACCCTACTCCAGCATGACTTCATCTTAACTAGTTTCACCTGCAATGACATTATTTCCAAATAAGGTCAGATCCTGAGATACTGGGGTTAGGATTTAACAGATCTTTTGGAGGGACACAATTCAACCTGTAACACCATTCAGTGAGGAAAGAAGAATCCCTTCAACAAAAAACTCTGGGACAGCTGGATAAACACAGATAAAGGAATGAACTTTGACCCCTTCCTCACTCCGTGTACAAAAATTAACTCCCAGTGGATCAAACACCTAAATATAAGAGAGAAAACTGCAAAACTATTAGAAGAAAACAGAGGTAAATCTTCACGGCCTTGTAATGGATTCTTAGACATGATGTTAAAAGCACAAGTAACAAAAAGTAGACAAATTCGAATTCATAAAAATTAAAAGCTTTTGTGTGTCAAAGGACATTATCAAGAATGTGAAAAGACAACCTACAGAATAGGAGAAACTATTCACAAATCATGAATATGATAAGGGCTTAACATACAGAATGTTTAGAATATTCTGAAATAAAATATTTTATAAATATTTTCAAATAAAATATTTTATAAATATTTTCAAATAAAATATTTAAGATGGAACTCAGGAATAAAGAGACAAACACCCAATTATAAAATGGCAAAGGACTTGAATAGACATTTCTCCAAAGAAGAATACGAAGAAGATAGACAAACGTCCAACAAGCACGTGAAAAGATGTCCAACATCATTGGTCATTAAGGAAATGCAAATCAGGGCCACAGTGAGATATGACTTCACCCCTGCTAAGATGACTTTAATTTTAAAAAATCAGAACATATGTGTTGATGAGTATGTGGAGAAATAGGAACCCTCATACATCGCTGGTGGGACTGTAACATGGTACAGCCACTGTTGACAACAGTTTGGCAGTTCCTAAAAGAGCTAAACATAGAATTACCATATTGCCCAGCAATTACAATCCTAGGTAGGTGTATGCACAACAGAAATGTAAACATATGTCCACATAGAAACTTGTGTAGCAGCATTATTCATAATAACCGAAAGATGAAAACAACCCAAATGCCTATCAACAGATCAATGGATAAACAAATTATGGTGTGGACATACAATGGAATATTATTCAGCCACGAAAAGGAAAGAAGGACATGCTATAGCTTTGATGAACATCAAAAACATGCTAAGTGAAAGAAGCCAGACGCAAAAGGCCATATATATGGTTCCTTTTATATGATATATCCAGAATAGGTAAATCCATAGACAGAGAAAGGAGATTAGTGGTTAGAGGGGACTGGAGGGGAGTATATGAATGACGAGTGATTACTTAGTGGGAATGTGGTGTTTTTCTGAGATGATGACAAAGTTTTGAAAGCAGAAGTGATGGTTGCACAACATTGTGAATACCACTGAGTTACACACTTTAAAATGGTTAATTGTGTGTTACATAAATTTCACCTCAATTAAAAATAAATGAAGGGAAAAATAAAAACCCGCTAACTTAGACTTGAACCTCAGGAACCATCCAGGGAGGCTAGTTGCAAATTGGCCAAAGTTTCTGGGGAAACATGTGCACAGCAACTTGATCCTGTGAGCCTGCTGGAGACGGGTCCTGCCGTAAGACCACCCTCTCCTGGGAAGCCTGCAGTAGCAAATGCTGGCACAGAGCAGTGGCCTCAAGGAGCTGCAGGAACCTGGGAATACTTGGACCTCTGCAACCCTCCCACAGGTCATGAAGCTGGTGGGACAGGGCAAGCCTGTGTCCTGCACGTCTCCCTAAATGACAGCAGGGTCAGCAGCATGGAGTGGTGGCCCTATGGGTCTAGGAGACTGTGCCAATGTGAGGTGAGGAGGCTGTGGCTGCTGGATGCAGAATCCTTGGTTGACAGTCATCTTCATTCATCACTTTCAATAGGTTATCCCACTGTCTTCTGGCCTCTGTGGTTTCTGATGAGACGTCACCTGTTCATCTTATTGAGCCTCCCTTTTATGTCATGACTTGTTTTTTTCTTTCTGTTTCAAGATTTTCTCTGTGCTTCAGCTTTCCTCAATTTCATTATGAAATGCCTAGGTGTGCATCTATTTGAGTTTATCCTGCTTGGGGTTCATTGAGCCTCTTGATGGGTTAATGTTTTTCATCAAATTTGTTGTTTCAGCCATTTATTCAAAGAATCTTTCTGCCCTTTTCTCTCCTCTCCCTCTGAAAAAAAGTTGATTCTGACTGTATTTTTGCCAGTTTTCTCATCTCTTTTACAGAGAAGAGAATTTTTGAGGGAACTTGCTCCACCATTTTCTCTGACATCACTCTCTATCGCTTTTTTTTTTCTTTTTGCTGAGGAAGATTAACCCTGAGCTAACATCTATTGCCAATCTTTCTCGTTTTTTGCTTGAGGAAGATTTGCCCTGAACTAACATCTGTGCCAATCTTCTGCATTTTTTGCTTGAGGAAGGTTAGCTCTGAGCTAACATCTGTGCCAGTCTCCCTCTACTTTATATGTGGGTCTCCACAACAGCATGGCTGACGAGTGGTGTAGGTCCACGCCCAGGATCCAAACCCAAGAATCTGTGCCACTGAAGTGGGATGCACCAAACTTAACTAGTACGCCACGGGGCCGGCCTCACTCTCTATTCCTTTTTACAACACGTTTATAATTTATCTGAGGTTCATGTCACACCCCTCATTGCACAGCACATGCAGTAAAAAGAAAATGAGAGAGAGAAGTACTTATTCTAGAACAGCACACTTCAAGGTGAACTTAAGGGAATGTGGACAGTGCTTCTCCAGCTCTCTGCAGTGAAGGGCCAGTTTTTTGGTTTTTTGTTTGTTTCTTAAACTAACTCATCATGGTATGTGGTCCCACTTCATATGGCTAGTTCCCATACGACTTGCCGTACAAGTTCCACACACTGAGCTAGTCTCTACCCTGTCCAACAAGATTGTCCACTGATCACACTCCTGGAGGTCCGGGCAACGTCAAACTGCTGTAAGAGTTTCTAAGTGCTCCCTGTTTCTTTATTTATCTTGTCACCAAGTGGTAACATAGTTTGCAAACCAGAAAAATTTTGAGTAGCACTTAATTGAGAAACAATCTTGAATAAGCTATTATGAGCCCTCTACGGTCACATTTTAAGATATACTTGTGTTGATTTTCTCTTAAATTCAAGCATGATGTAAATACATAACGTAGAAAATGAAGATTCCTCATATTCCCACAGACTGAGCACTGTTAATATGTTTGCTATAAATATGCTACTAGTTCTTTTCTATTCTTCTATAATAATGTGTTTGCTCTGTAAAAATGAACTTATTCTACATGCATATTTTACAACTGATTAACTTATTTGGATGTGTTCTCATAAGATATATGTACATTTTCTTCATCTGAACAGCTGTGGAGTATTCCATTTCATATATATGCGGTAATTGTTAACTGGTCCCTCTTGGTGGCCATCTAGGCACAGGTCCCATTTTTCAAGCTAGGGCATTCGAATACACTAGAAGTAACAGATGTCAGCTCTATACTGTGTGTCAAACCTAATAAGCAAAGCAAAACCTGATTTCTGATTAGCATTTTAGGGTGTTTCCAATCTCTTGCTACTACACGCCACGCTGAATCTGTGTGTTTGCCCTTTGGGCATCTGTGTGTACCTGTGCACACCTGCCGAGTGAAGTCTGGGAAGGGAAGGTGCTGTCCAGAGAGATGTTCCAGTCCACACTGCCACCCACAGTGCTCCCATCCTTTTGAGCTTGGGTTTGGATTGGAGGAATTCAAAAGTCATCAGGAGCCAAACCAAGATAGAAGGTCCAGATTTAGCTGGACAGCGGCAAGAGTTCCAAGCCAGGACACTGGATATCCCTGGGCTGTTCAGAAACTTGTAAACCCAATTCTAAAAGGAAGCCAGAAATATGGTGTGCAACCAACTCATTCCTTAAAACACCTTTTCTTCTAATTTCTGCAAAGGACAAGTGACTTCCAGCAAGATAGATAAGCAATGCCACATCCTTACAAATCATTTCCTTTTTGTTACTCCAAAATGTTAAGCTCAATGCTGCTGAAACATAACCTTTACCCTTTATGGTACCGCCTCACCATGGCAGGAAGGAGGGAAGGCCAGGCGTTCTTCACCACCACCACCAATTAGGCCTAACGCGAGTCTCCGAGTGGAGATCTGACAGTGGCTTCAACAGCCAATAAGCAGTGGGCTGAGGTCCTCCTTGACCGACTCTGTGACTGTCCAGCAGAAATGGTTCTCTGAAGGCTCTTTCAGAATGTGAAGCAACTCACTGTCTGAGCCTGCCCAGCAAACCTCTCCATCAGGTTGGTCTGTTAGCTTCTCCGAGTCCTTCCCTGAGAACATTTCAAGGAAAACCCCAAGAACATGAAAGCTGAATGACAGTCCTCCTTTGGGGGAATCCTTGAAGCACGGAGGTGTCTGACAGCTACAGGTCATTTCTGAGAAAACCATCGTTTAAGAAATGTAGCACAGACACTAATGATTCTTCAAGAGCCCCTTGCTGACGTGAGAAATCTCAGTGTGAGAGTGGCACATCTGATTAACCACGGGGACCTAGCTGACCCCCAGCGAGTGCCAATGTGCTGACCCCCTGCCCCGCACAGGGGCCACTCGGGACACAGGCGGTGTTTCCATGCAAACAGGAATAAATCCAGGGCTCGGTGTACACATTTCACAGCTTTTTATTGAGGTTCAGGAAGAGGCCAGTGGTGGTGGGGGTGCTCACTGTCCCAGCTTCCCCAGGCCTTCCGCCGCGTGGGTGACAGCATTTGTGACTGTGTTGGTCACTGTGTCAGTGACTTCCTTCACCACTTTGTCCCCTGTCTCATGGGCCTTCTTTAAGGCTTCGGCGATGGCTGTCAGGAAGTAGGAGGCATAATGTCTGGGTGAGCAAAGAAACATTTGAAGCCACTTGCTAGGCTAGTCTCACCTGGAGTGGCCTGTGGGATGTGGCAGACCTCTGGATATGGCCTGGAGGAGCCCCGATGGGGCAGCGGGCAGCAGAGCTCCCAGAGGACTGTGCTCAAATTTGATTTATTTCACGCAACAACCTGCATTTCTTCACTTACAAGCGAGACTGAGCATCTGCTCACATCACGGGTATGTTACCTGCCTGGGCTTCATTTCTCCGTGAAATGTCTGTTTACATCTTTCGGTCATTTTTATATTGGGTTATCATTTCTATTACAAATATTTTTCTTCAGTTTGTGATTTTTCTTTTGACTTGGCTTATAGTTGTTTTTTTTTTTTTACTATGAAAATTTTGAAGTTTTATATTGTCAAATTTACCTAATATTTCCTTTATGGCTGTTGGGCTTTCTGTAATGGTTAAAAAGACCCTCCCGTCTCCAAGATTATGCCAAAATAGCCTATGTTCTCTTCTAACAATTTAATAACTTCAAGTATTTATATTTAAGTCCTTGATCCATCTGGAACCTATTTTATTGTAAGGAATGAGGTATGCATATGCTTTTTGCATGGTTATGCTCACAGCACACACACATAGAAATATATAGTTTTGTCTTAAATATTTTTGTGCTGACACATATTCTGTGACATCATCTTCTTAACATTCCACAGAGAGAACTATCCAGGTGGATCTTGCTTCAGCAAAGTGTGGGCTGTGGCTGCAGATGAGCATAGATAATTGTATACTAACTGAAAGGACGCAACAGCAGGGGCAGGGTCTGACCTGGTTAGGCAAAGAAGGAGATGCTGCCAGCATCCAGCTTCCCTCCCTCCCTCCTTCCTCCTCCCCTCCAACCCTCCCTCCCTCCTTCCTCGGCCTGATCTTGGCCGTACCTTTCTCTCCAGCCTCCTTGGCATGCTCCACCACCTCCTTCACCACTCCCTCCACGACATGAGCTGAAAAAACAAGACAAGCCGATTGAGAACACAGTGCAAGCCGGCTTCTCCTCAGGGTGGCGGGGCCCGGCCAGCTCTGGATGTCCTGCATGGGGTTCTGGGATGCTGCCCCAGCCGGGACAGGCTGGCTCACGAGAAGGACCCTCAGCTGGCTCCCTTCAGAGACTCGAGTGGGGCCTGGCTGCCAGGAGACAAACTGAGTGAGCCAGAGAAGGGCACAAGGCCCTCCGTGCCCCTCGGGCCTGACACGGCCTGGAATGCCAACGAGCAGGCCCTCCTCCCAGCTAGGGACCTGGAACCAAGGCTGGGCCTGTTTCCCAGGTCACCACACCTCCTAGGGGTGCTGCTGGCCTGCCTCCAGCAAAACCAAGTGCCCCAAAGCCATCGCCCCAATAGGAGGGCGCTCTGCCCACCTAGGAGTGGTTTAAAGCTTGGGTGGGAGCGTGCTAGAACCGGAAGATTTGGGAGTCGGCAATTGGGTTCTGATGCCAACACCACCCTCCACTGCTGGGTTCCCTCATGGGTAGAATGAGGATAATACGGAAGTCACAGGGCTAAGAGGAAAGATGACAGAGGGCCGTCCACACCCGCAGTGGAGCTGCCAAATGAAATCCAGACACGTCTGCAGCCATTTAGAAGGAGAACAGTGAACTCAGGCACAAGCTGTTTTTCACAAACTGTCCACAGGTGGGAGCTCGGTTAGCTCCCTGCATGCAGCTGCTGGCCTCTCTGCATGGGACTTCGAAGAAAGTGAAAATATCCTTTCCATAAACCCCAGGGACCGACTTTGAACAGAATCAGACTCGGTGGTTTGTTAATGAAGAAATCTTTGAAGCTTTAAAGTTACACTAAAAAAAAATCCATCCTCTCTTTCTGTAGAGGATACTCAGAATAGGCTGTTTCGATGCGGAAGGGCTCCCCAGATTTCCAGAGGGAAGGATTCAAGCCACCGGCTGCTCACTCAGCACCCAGGGTCCCCTCTTGCCCCCAGGGGCCTCCTCTGGGCTGGCCCCCTCCTGCCCTCAGCCACAGACCCCAACAACAGGTGGCACAGCAGGTCCGATGGCGGGAGGGTTGCTTGAGGCAGTGGACCCCTCATGGCTCCCCCCCCCACAACCCCGAGCTGCCCTCCTTGGCCTCTGTAGCCCCCTCCTCCACCCTGTCCTGGTGGAGCTGGTTGGCCAGGATTCCCCATGGGGCCAAGGCCTGCCCCAACCCCGCTGGGATCAGCTTTGACAAGCCCAGCCGTGTCTGTCCACATCCCCCAGCCAGAGGGGAACGGCTCAGGTTACAGGAGCAACCGGGTCCCTACCAGCCTCCTCAGTGGCCTTCTCTGTGCGGTGGGCCAGGCCCTCGGCGGCAAGCTTCCCCAGGCTTCCCAGCATTGTGTGGCAGCAGGTCGTGGCCCAGCAGGATGGTGGGGCGAGCACCAGTGTGCTTTTATAGATGCCTCTGATGCCTGGCTGGGCCCCGGCTGAGTGGGACATCTGGCGATGAGTCAGCACAGACGGCTCAGGAGGAAGAGGCTGGGTGGGGCGCCCCAGTGCTGTGGCCCAGACGCTGCCCCTCTGGCAGCAGGAGACCCCCACACCTCCTATCCTGGGACCCTGTGAGGGCAGGGCCAGGGAGCAGGGCTGAAGCTGGACGGAGAGGTCAGTCCGGGCCATGCGCCTCCCCCAGGCCAGTGGCCCAAGTTCCCTGTGGGATGAGGGGCACTGGGACAGCAGCTGTGCCAGCCCCCTGGGCTGGAGCTCCCCACAGCCTGGGCACTGGTGTGTACTCAGACAAGGCCTAGGACTCCCAGCCTGTTGTCCCGGGTCCCCAGGGTGGCCTAGTCAGAGCGCTGGGAGTTCCCTGGGCCTGGGGACCTGGGCAGCCCTTCAGGCCAGGAACACAAGTGAAGTGGGGCCAGCCCCTCCCTATTCCCAAGGCCCTGGGCTCTGCAGAGTGAATTTGCTGCCTCCATCGGACAGGTAGGGGGACCCCAGCCATGCGTCGCCCAAGGCAAAGGAGGACACACCATTGACCAGAGGCCTTGTCACCCCCAGCTGGCAGTCAGCTGGTTCTCACTCATGGGAGCGCGTGGGTGGCCCAGCGCTGGGACAGGCGGCACATGAGGGAACCGGCCCCTGCTGCACCTTGGGGCCTGGCCTTGCGGGGAGGCCCCATGAGGTCGGCAGTGCCCCCAGGAGGTCCTGGAGGAGTAGGTGGAGGACCCACCACCCCTTGAGGAGGTGCTTCTGGCCCTAGCAGGAATTCCCAGAAAGCCACACTACCGTTCCCTGACGCATCACGGGCTTAGGGGGCCAGGCCGCCTCCCTGGTTACTCAGAAAGGAGAGAGAAGCCTCAAGCCACATGCCACGTGCTGCTTCTCTTAGTCACTAGCCCGATCCGAGCCTCAGTTTCCTCATCTATAAAATGGGGACAGCCATGCCTTCCTGGTCGTGTCACTGGTGGGATCATGCAAGCTCTTGGTAAACATCTGTTCCCTCCATGTTGTCACTGATATGCTAGGGAGGGGCCACTTGGCAGGGGGCCCTGAGCAACCAGCAGGTGGGCCAAAGAGTGGCGGGGGCATGAGGCTGCCTTGGAGGCAGCGGGCTGGAGGGATGTGACCCCCACATGGAAGGAAGGTCCTTGCGAGTCCCCGTTCACACGGTCCAGGCCTGGGACAGCAGTCTGAGGTCCCCTCCCCTCTGCAGGCTTCCTCAACCCCCAGAGCTGCCCAAGAGGGTGTGGTGGGGCCTAATTAGTGTTTACCCCACGACAGGCCCTCACAGCCTGGGCCCTATGGGGCAGAGGCCCTCCCACACTCCTGACTGCTGTTAAGAGGCCCCTCCTGGGGTGGGTGGTGGGTGTTGTGAGCAGCAGGAACTCTGGGTCACAAGGCCATAGCCCCACACATGCCATCTCCCTTGACAGGAGTGGGTCAGGTCTTAAACAATTTGGAGAGGCCTTCTTTAGGAAAAAAAATACTGTAATACTACTGTGGGAAGTTTTATAAACACGTATGTATGACCCTGTGGGCTCAGAAGGGGAAAGTGAGGGTACCTAGAGCTTAAGAAGATCCAGATGGCTCTGTCTTCCCCTTGCTACAGCCAAATTCCAGAGGGTTCTGCTCAGGGCGTTGGGGCCACGCCACGGAGAGTGGGGTCCTTCTGGGACACAGCTGATGGGAACTGAGCTGAGGGATCCACAGGGTCCCTGGACCTATCAAAGCCCCTTGGTGGTTTCCTCTGAGCTTGTCTGTGTCCCTCATCCCCACAGGGGTCCCCTCTGTGCCTGTTCCCCTAACAGGAAGGCAGTGTCACCCACCAGTTCTGGGATGGCTCCCAGACCCCAAAGAGCCCTCCCCAACAGTCCCCACCCTGGGGTGCTCTTCACTGTCAGCCTCTGCCCAGGAGCTCAGCAGCCCCTCCACAGGCCCTTGTCAGGGCGTGACCACTCAACAGGACTCTGGCTCCAGTGACAGCCCGGAGCCTGGTCCAGCACAGGCCCTGGTTGCACTGTTCCCTCGCTGTCAGACTACTGTTACCCTCCCCATGTCCCCCCGCCCATGAGACCCTGCTCCTCTTTAATGCACTGCCCTGGTGAGCGCCCTGACTCCAGGGACAACACACCATGACCCCAGATGTCCTGGCAAGGCTAGGTCCAGACTCAGATGCCAAATGGCCAACAGGGAGAAGGCAAGAGGCCTGGAGAGGCCAGGCTTCCCAGGACCAGACTTGGGCCCCAGATTTGGGGCTTCGGCCAGATCCAGTCCTGCTTGGCCTCCCAGCTCCAGCGTGACGAGCTCCCCCTCCTCTCAGCCCAGCCCGTGGCTCCCTGAGAGTGGACTCCTTCCAGCCGAAGAACCTGGGATAGCCCAAGACACTCCTAACCAGGGCTGGATTCTGCACCGAGGGGCCGGGCTCGGGTGACTCCTGCAGGGAACCACGTTACCTGCTGGATGAGGTTGAGGATGACTCAGGTGGGAACCACCCCATCCTGGTAGAGGCTCGGCCAACGCTGCAGCCCAATGGAGCAGCCCTTGATCACAGGCACCAGGTCAGCCTGCCCTGAGTCAGAAGGTCAAGCCCAGAGCTCGAGGCAGGGAGAATCGAGCCTTGACGTGAGCCGACTAGTTCTCCAAGTGGAATTTGCCCACCAACCCAGTTTGGCAAGGCACCGGCTGGCTGCATCACGGGTCCAGGAGAGCCAACTTTTCAAATAGCAATTTGCCAGCTTAGCAATTCCCAATTCTGAAAAAACAAATATTTATTTTAAGTACTTAAGTCCTTAGGGCTGTCTTATGTCTGAAGCATGACGATCTCTCATGTGATCTGAACTGCGGACGTCATGAATGTCGACTTTTAGGATTGTCCATCCTGCCTACGCCTTCTCCTACTTCTGCTCCAGGGATCTGAGCTCACAGTGTATGCTGAGCCTATGTATCCTGCACACACCGACCCCTCCCAGCCACAGGGGAGCCACGGCCAGACTCCTGAAGACTTGGGTCGTCAGTCACCAGAGGAAGACTTCCCCAGCACATCAACACTCACACATCCGTGGGTGTCAGTGACAGTCCCGGTGGCACATCAGAGGGCACTTCGAAAGGGTACCTGAGGGAAGGGACTGTTCCCAAAGGAGTGGACAGACTTAAGGGAACCAGTGAGGGATGGTGAGGCCCCCAGGGACCAGCAAAGGTGGGAGTTGTTAGATCCCTGTGTCTGCAGGGGTAGGGGAGGGACCATACGGACCCCCGAGGAGAGATGCAGCTGTAGGAGAGCGTCATCCGACAGGAGCTGCAGCCATCGGCAGAGGAACACGGCTACTGCCAAACCACGCCCAGCAAGGAGGGAGCAGGAGAGAGAAATACCTCTCCCCTCCATCTCCCATCTCCTACCAACAACGCCCATTGATTGAACCCAACTGGGGCCCGGGTATGAGGGAACTCGGTGATGCAGTTCAAGAGGGCAGGTCCCCAGGGCGAAGGCAGGGAGGATGGATAGGGTGGAGAGGAGTTGTGGAGCATCTGTAAACAGAGAATACCAGCTCAGCCTGCCCGACTTTCGGGTGTGGAAGTAACATGGCAGCAGCTTAATTCTAAATAATCCTATTCCTCCTTCTTGAAACTATATGGCACAACAAGGAGCATGGAAGAAGAAGAAAAAAAGCCCATCACCAACACACATCAAACTTAACTTCAGAGAAGCTAGGAGACTGGGAAACTGCAAGTCCAGAAGCAGGTGAGGGGCCGGCCGGTGGTGCAGCGGTTAAGTGTGCACATTTTGCTGCGGCAGCCTGGGGTTTGCCAGTTCAGATCCCGGGTGCGGACATGGCACTGCTTGACAAGCCATGCTGTGGTAGGCATCCCACATATAAAGTAGAGGAAGATGGGCACGGATGTGAGCTTGGCAGCAGATGTTAGCTCAGGGCTAATCTTCCTCAAAAAAAAAAAAAAAAAAAAGAAGCAGCAGCAGCAGGTGAGACCAGCAGAACCATTGTGGGAAGGCCAGGAAGTACAGAAGAGCAGGCGATGAAGGGTGGCCAGCAGTGGGGGTCTCAGATACTGCCAGCAACACTCACTCCCAGTAGGAGAGGACCCTCTGAGCAAGAGCTCCTTGGGACAGGACTCAGACCTGAGAAGGTGACGAAGGAGGAGGAACGTGCCCAAGGAAGTCCAGAGGTGCCGGATCTCAGAGAGTAGCGCCTTCCAAGAGAGAAGGGGGCCCTTGGGAAGGCAGGGAGGGAACCTCTGGAGGCTGTGACTGGGAAAGGAAGGCTGCCAGTAGAATCTTCCTGAAGCCAGTTGTGTTCTGAGAGGCAGAGGGATCCCAGCTTCAGGCATGAGTCCAGCACTTTGGTGAAGGAAGAGCTCCTGAGCAACCCAGCCTGAGCGACGACCCTAAGCCCACCCCCCCGCCCAGGGACTCTCCCACTGATGTCTGCGAAAGTCCACTCCAGACTTGAGCTTCGGCTTCCCGACAGCCTCCCATACGTCCTGAGTACAAGGGTTTTATGATTGACAGAGTAGGTTTCTGTCTTCTCAATTAACATTGAGTTGGAAAAATCATATAGTTTCTCTGTCTTCCTCTCCCAACCTCCCTTAACGTTCACATCTTACACCATAGTACAATGATCGGAACCAGGGAATTATCATTAGCATATTTAGTTAAGTTAAATTTAAAGTTATTTAACTAAATAAAGATTAGTTAAATAAATAAGTTTAAGTAAACTTAAATTATTTAAATTAGAAGTTAACATATTAGCTAATCTCAAAACCTTACTGGAATTTCACCACTTTTTCCACTAATATCCTTTTTCTGTTTCAGAATGCTATCCAGGATCACGCACCTCATTTTTTTTTTCTTTTGGAGGGTGAGGAAGATTGGCCCTGAGCTAACATCTGTGCCAGTCTTCCTCTATTTTGTATGTGGGACACCGCCATAGCATGCACTTGATGAGCAGTGTAGGTCTCTGCCTGGGATCTGAACTTGCAAACCCAGGGCCTCGGAAGCAGAATGTGTGAATTTAACTACCTTGCCACCGGGCAGCCCCCGCGCACTGCATTTAGTTGTTATTTCTCCTTAGTCTCCTCCACTTTTGTGGCACTGCAGTAACAGTCCCTCAGTCTTCCCTCGTCTTTCACGACCTTGACACTTGTAACCAGTTCTGCTCATTTTGTCAAATCTTTCTCATTTGTCTAATATTTTCTCATGATTGGCCTGAGGTTATGTATTTTTGGCAAGAGAAGCACAGCAATGATGTTGGACCCTTCCCGGTGCCTCATGTCACAGGGTTCCTGACCTTGAGACATCTTATTACTTATTACAATAACTAGTGACGCTGAACTTGATCCTTTGGTTAAGGTGGTTTCTGCCAGGTTTCTCCGCCATAAAGTAACTGTCTTGCCCTTGTAGTTAATAAACATCTTGGGGGAGAGACTTTAAGACTGCAAATTCTGTTTCTCTTCAAACTTGAAAAAAATCTTTTTAAATTGTAGTAAAATACACACTACCTAAAATTTGCCATCTTAACCACTTTGAACCGTACAGTTCTGTAGTGTTCAGTATGTTCACATTGTTGTGCAACCAATCTCCAGAACTTTTCATCTTGCAAAACTGAAATTCTATATTCCTTAAACAACTACTCCCCATTTCCCCCTCCCCCAGCCCCCCGCACCACCCTTCTACTTTCTGTTTCTGAAAGTTTGACTCTTCTTGGGACCTCGTATAAGTAAAATCACATCGTATTTGTCTTTTTGTAACTGGCTTATTTCACCTAGCATAATGTTCTCAAGCTTCATTCACATTGTAGCACGTGTTGAAATTTCCTTCCTTTTTAAAACTGAACAGTATTCCATTGTATGTGTCTACCACACTTTGTTTATCCAATATTCCACTGTATGTATATACAATACCACATTTTGTTTATCCATTCCTCCATCTATGGACATTTGGGTTGCTTCTAATTTTTGGCTATTGTGAATAACGCTGCTATGAACATGGATTACAGACACTTTTTTCAAGACCCTGCTTTCAATTTCCTTGTTTATATATCCAGAAGTGCTTTTCCTGGATCACATGGTAATTCTATTTTTAATTTTTGGAGGAACTGCCATACTGTTTTCCATAACAGCCACATCATTTTACATTCCCACCAACAGCGCACAAGGGTTCCAATTTCCCCACATCCTTGTCAATACTTATTTGCTCTTTTTGATAACAGTCATTCTAATGGGTGTGAGGTGATAGCTCATTGTAGTTTTGATTGACATTTGTCTGATGATTAGTGATGTCGAACATCTTTTTATATGCATATCAGCCATTTGTGTATCATCTTTGGGGAAATGTCTATTCAAGTCCTTTATCCATTTTTTAATTGGATTTTTTTAAATTGTTGAGTTGTAGGATTTCCTTATATATCCTGGATATTAACCCTTTCTCAGACATATGACTTGCAAATATTTTTTCCCATTCTGTAAGTTGCCTTTTCACTCTGTTGGTTGTGCCCTTTGATGCACAGAAGTTTTTAATTTTGAAGTAGTCCAATTTATCTAGTTTTTCTTTTATTGCTTGTGCCTTCTTTGGCGTCATATCCAAGAAATGATTTCCAAATTCAATGTCATCAAGCTTTCCCTCTATGTTTTCCTCTAAAAATTTTATAGTTTTAGGTCTTATGTTTATCTCTTTGATCCATTTTGAGTTAATTTTGGTACATGGTGTAAGGTAAGGGTTCAACTTCATTATTTCGCATGTGAATATCCAGTTTTCCCAACACTATTTGTTGAAAAGACTGTCCTTTTCCCATTGGATGATCTTGGCACCCTTGTCAAAAACCATTTGAGAGCCAGCCCCCATGGCCGAGTGGTTAAGTTAGCGTGCTCAGCTTCAGCAGCCCAGGGTTTGCTGGTTCAGATCCTTGGTGCAGACGTGGCACTGCTCATCAGGCCATGCTGGGGTGGCATCCCACATGCCACAACTAGAAGGACCCACAACTAAAAATGTGCAACTATATACCAGGGGACTTTGGGGAGAAAAAGAAAAAAATAAAATCTTTAAAAAATAGAGGAAGACATGCGGGGAGAGGAGAAGAGCCAGTGAGCTGGGGACCTGCTCCAGCCTGAGCCTGTCCCCAGGGTGGCCTTCTCTCCACCTCGGAGTGACCCATCCTGAAACCCAGCGGGGTGGGAGGTGGGAGGGGGACCTCACTCACCCACAATAGGGCTGTAGCTGCTGGGTGCTGCAATGTAGCTGAAACAGACTCTGAGGTCCACACTGTGGGGGCAAAGGGCAGCTCCTGAGCCACAAGGCTCATGGGCCAGGGCCCCACCCCCACCCTGCCCCACCTTCCCCAGCCTCAGCCCCAGCCTCAAACTATACAGAGAAAGGGGGAACCGGGGAAAACTGGACTCCAGAGGCTCCCCCGCCCTCCCCCTGGAT